ATATACGAGTTCTTCTATATCCAAGGTTCACTATTATAAGAAAACTTTTCATTCTCTGTTCCATCTTGAGGGAGAAAAGTTTCAACTGCCTTTTCAAATCTCAGAGCAAGTTTAATTGTACTCAATGTAGTCGTTGAATTCGGATGAATGAGTATCTTTCAATGGCAAGCAGGACGATAAATCTTCAATGAAGCTCTTGATTGACTTCTTACGGTATAGTACATTTATTGGACATTCATTATTCATGCTGTACTCGGCACGGTGTTGTATTCGTACTTCAATATGCTACGCACGTATAGTAGCTACAGCCACCTCATGTACTGTACAACATGATTCTCATATACAAGTCATTCACGTGACCTTAGCGGACATGATTGCCCTCAAATGCAGCAGCATTTGGTACTATCACTACTGAATGTTGGGGGTTGAATCATGAGACTTCAATTCCGGAACAGCTGTGCGTTTCGAGTGAAGGTGTCCTTTTGTGTCACCTTTTCTGTGGTACTTTTAAATGAGACTGCATTCTACATTCACCCTAAAGTCTAGTCTGCAGATGATCACCAGCAGTATAACTACAGTATACGTTGCACAAGACGCAGTGCACTACATGCATGATACTTGTTTGTGCATGCGTACAGGAAATCAACTTCAATCTGTCGCATTTCAGCAACAACAAAGGCTTCCCGTGTGCATAAAATAATGCAAATTTTTACGCCTGGCATCTTTCATTGAATAAGGCCAGAGAATTTAGTCTCCGCTCACTCACTCACTCACTCGCCTGATCCCCAATCCAATCTTTAGAACCGGATGAAGCATATTCCAGCTCTCCATATTTTGCACGTTTGTGGAGCTAAAGTGATATTCGTGACAACTTCCTGCCAGTGGGTGGAGGCAGGGTTTACATTCCATCCCATTGGCCAGAGCAAAAACTGGTCCACGAGTGTTGTGGGAAATGATTTAAATAATGGGAGGCCCTGTTGGTTCTAACGTGATAGATTTACCTTTTTTTTCCTTGACTGAAGTGTGATGGAGGATGGAGGTTGGAGGTTGGAGGTTGGTGGTTTGTGATGCTGGAACACATCTCTTTGAGGGCATGAAGAAACCTGAATATCCCCCATAGCTGTCCAGGAGGAAGAATTGGGTGGTCTGGAGCGGACAGGTCCGACATATGCCCAAGACCAAATGATGTATGTGTGCAGATTTTCGGCAGATGCGCATAAAATCAAGGAGTGACCATTTGCAGCTGAGGCCAACTGGAAGTCCACACGCATCAAGATGTTTTGCTTGTCATGTGAACAACGACTGGAACTCGGTTTGATGCTTGTGCGTTGGATGGCCATCGCTAGTAGCGCAAATGGAGGAAGATATGACACACTTTTCTTTTCTCCTGGTTGAATCAACAACATGCAGATGGAGACATTGGGGCAGGTGCATTCTCTCGAGTGTTGGAATCATTTGATTTCTGTCTCATCATGTGAGGAGGCCCGCCTGCCAACCTCTCGGCTTCCTTTCTTTGTCTCTGCTGGATGGAGCTCCATCTTCTTCAACGAAGACTCCGAGACGGATGGCCTCCAGGACAACCAAACATTACCTCAAATGTAACAAATCAAATCTGCTTAGCACACTTACGAAAGAACATATGAAGTCAATGCAAGACAGTCCTACAGGTTTCAAATATCATTCTCATGATGAACTCTATGACACCCAAAGCAACATCGATCTGTTAAATCGAGGTTTCAAGTGTCATTCCAAACACTCAGACTCGCAATTCCTCATTCATTCTGTTTTCAGTGTCTGTGTGCATTGAGGATAAATAGCACTTTGGGAGCACCTTAAAGGTTGAGCATCTCTTCCACTACTACACCTACTTTGGACTTTCATGCACGCGTAAACTTGTTCTAGTAACTTCTCAGAGTAAAGCGAGGCGACCGGAACACGCGCACCGAAAATGCGTCCAGGAGTTATGGGATGACTATTAAGGACTGTAACGCAACTTTCGATCTCGAATCTGAAACGGTAACGACGCCTCTCCTGTTCTCGGAGGCATTCATCACTCGCAGAGTTCGTCTAGATTGCCGGCGATAATGACAGACGGCCGGCCGGCGCATTGTAAGACGTGCATTTGAGCCCCGTAGATCGCTTTCTCTATCTACTCGGTATTGGCAACTTGAAGCGTGATGATTTCGGAAATCATTGAAATGAGTAGGACGAGCACTGTGATCGTTACCCATCAGGAGCAGCATCATTATTCTCCAACACCATGTTGCGCATAGCATGAACAACGCTCTCAACTTTTGGAAGCCAACTTTCAGGTGCAAGGAGTGAGTGAGTGCGTGTGCAAGCAACTGCTGGCTCAGCAGCTCTACAGTTCGATGAGATGCCTGTTGCATTCGAGCCTGCATTTCAGCCATTCCTATCTGCTTCCAGTCGTTTGTCTACCTACTTCCGTGCAAAAGGTCGAGGATAAAATCACTTGAACACGACTCTTCGGAAAGGGTGGCAAGAGTACGACCTACTCCCCGAGTCAACTCCCGACTGGCCCAAACGAGCTGGGCTCATGATGCTGCAAGTGACATTTGGTTCCAAAGGCCTTTCGCTGTCCACCGATCAATCTGTCTTTTCTGCTACGCGAACTCTCTGTTCATTACACTCTAATGCCATTCAACGTCAGCTCAGCTGCAGCCCTCGGAAATATTCCACAGTGGCACAGTGAATTGAAGCGATGGAGCTTAATAAGGTCATCGATCAAAGTCAGGCCCAAGCTGGACTTTCCAACCGAGCTTCGACAAATTGGGACCTCGTAAATTAGCCTCGCATTCAGAGCTTGTGAAGTCAAGACCTCCGTACCGAGAGAGAGAGAGAGATGTGCTCCAAAATAAAACGAATGCAATAAATCAATCGTATGAGTGTATCTAAAATAGATCCACAGTGTGCACTACGAACCCAATCAGTCATGCAGGCAGGCCGACAGGCCTACAACATTTCATGTCACCGTATACGTGCTCCCACTCTCGAGTCTCTTCGCCCCCTAAGGTAGCGGCACCAGATCTGCACAATATTCTCATTTGCTTAGATTTCTCAATCATGATAACGCTTGCATGCACGTGATTTGACTCCCGTCCGGATTTGTGACTGTGTCAACATTCACAGTCATTCCTCGCAGCCAGCGCAATGGACGACGCACCCTCGAGGCTCGAGGCAAGTACTTGCGGCCATGGTTCCAAGGATGGACATTAACTCTTGTGTATCGTATGCGGAAGGTAAGACAAGACCGAGGGACGAGCCTCTCATAAATCAGCCGTCTCTTCATTTACCTGTTCCGATGAATCTGTATCGTCTTTATAACCATCTACTTTATGGTGGAATCTCGCTCTCAGAAGTGCATCAGCGTTTAAGTGAGGACTATTTCGATCCAAAGTCCGAGACGAAGTCCTTCACTTAAGTGCCCATCGTCCTCTTTCTGCTCGTGACAATTAAGGGTTGCACCATGGTTCGTCAAGGTGTGCATCTACTGTTTTATGACGAGTCTCGTCAAGTCACGCGCTATTAGAGCTCCTCGAATCTGCAAATTTGAACCAACCGCTAAAAGCACAATCATGCGGTCGTAGGCTACATGTACATCTCCCAGTTGTTCGAGCAGCTGGAGGAGGTCCGAATGGTGGTGGGATTTATTCCATGGCCGAAAGCTCGAGGCCTCAGAGGATATGAAACTCCAAGGTACTCGAGTTCTGGAACGGTGGATCATAAATTCATGCGATAAAAGTAGCAGCGCAGCGCAGCTGGAGCAGGGCTGAGCTTTTGTACGCGCTGGGACTTTGACAGTGGCGAGGACGTACAGCTGCATAGTAACGAGTACTTGCTACTTGACGTGCAAGTGGAATGATTCGGAGTCTTTTGCTCAACTACTGCCATTCTTACACCTCTTACTTCCCATCAGCAGCAAAGAAGATCATCTAATTGCTTGGGCTGACACAGCTGAGGACCGGTTTTGACTCGGATCACATGTCAAGCTCCGAGTGAATGCCGGCAGCTTGGATAATTGTCATTGTCATAATCTTCAAGCCATCGATATCAAAATTTTCGTTTAGGTTTCTGCAGTGTACATCAACGAGAGTGACAGGTTCCTGTCATTCTCGTTGTTGCTCAAGTCAAGCAGACAAGCAATATTGGATTCTACGATTCCAATATTGCTGTTTCTGTGAATTGGATGAGGAGCAAGAGGAGGACATTTGTATCTGCTTTGGCCAGGTCGATTTGAGCTGAGAGCGATCGATCCGTGGCTTCCTCTTTCGCCAACTGCCAATACCCATCAGCAAGGAATCCAGCGAAGTCCCATCCGTGGCCGATACACGTCCAGAGCGGTGCTTAGATCTTTCGGTACTCCACGATGTGTTTCCAACACCCTTTTCAGCTCCATCGATCAGCCCACAGTTCACTCTGCAGGAAAATGAGGCCTACGTTACGCCTTCCTTTCACTATGTCCTTCTCGTGCTCGGCTCGGACAAAGAATATTCTCAAAGTCAATAAGTCCCACGACAGCTACAAAAGTCGTCAGCGACTGTCTTGCGTGCGGAATATATCGATCGTGAGAAAAAGGATCGTACTGGACCGGACCCTCTGACAGCTCCAGAAAATCTCTGATACTAGAGCTCTGATTGTGACAAGCAGATAAGCTGCCACAGTGGTCGAAACGAAAGCAGAGAAGCTATCACTTCCCTGTGCTGACGAGGTGATCCCAGAAAAGCAACTGGGATGAGTTTAAGACCTCGTGCATACTCTCGTTTGGGTTCGGAATTATTCCCCGACCGTATAAAGTAAACACAACCAAATGCGTTACTCATGCCTCGTTATCATCCCCAGACGTACTTCGAATCTATTCCGATATCTCCCAACAGTGTGGCCGCAGAGTCTTGCGTACTTTTCGTCGACCCACATTTCTCTAGCAGCTCCACGTTTGGCCGTTTCACACTAAGGTTCTTAACATGGACGGAAATACGTGATAGCATCTTGAAGAGAGGGTATTGTTCGAGAGGTCATTCAATGGTGGGGATATGAGAGTAAAAATTTGAACAAATCCTCCTTCAGGAAAAGATGTGTAGACAGAGGAGACCTTCAACAGAAACATCGTCTCAAGCTGGAGTTCAGCTTTCCAGTTCCAGACAGCAGCAATCTACTAGAATAGGACAAGAAGTTTTCTCAATTCGGATCAGGTTTCTCTACTCTTGTGTCTGCTGCGGCTTCGTTTATCATGTCTCCCCTCATGTTCATGTCTAGACTTCCTTCTTCCTTCTCTGTGACTTGTTGACTTGGCTTCTTTATCCGTACTGTCTCTGCTCCGACTTCGCTTCCTTTCTCTTCTTTCATGTCTGTGCTTTGACGTACTTCTTTCGTGGACGGGTGAACTTTTATCAGTATCGTTACTTCGACTCCGTCTTCCTTGCTTGCCTTCATGGCCATGCTCAGGTTTGCTTCTACTATCATAACCTGGAGAGCCCCGCTCATACTCGGTACTACCGTCATACCGAGCACTTGATATTTCTGGGTAAGAATATCTCTGCTTATAATACTCGTCGTCATCTCCTGCCTCCGGTATGTAGTCCTTGTTAGCTTTATGGCTTCCTTCACCAGCATGCCTTCGAACTCGCTTAGTGTGTGCAGAGGCGTCGCCTTCTTCGTCTAAAAAGTGCTTTCCTTTCCTATGACGAGAAGAACTCGACGACTTGACTGCGTCTTCTTGTTCCTCAACTAGTCTCGAAGACCTCACCGGTGAGCGACTCGAACGTCGTTCCACATGATGTTTGTCTCCATCTCCACCTGAAATTTCATATTGAGGAGTTCCGCTACGGTTCTCTCTCTGAGAAGACCTGCGTCTGCGTGGAGTTTCCTTCGATCTGTCCGGTCTTCTGGGGACCGGAGGTAACTGCAGCAAATCAATGGCCTCATGAATAAACAACTGATATCAATAACGCCCTGTCAAAAGCGCGCAGAGAACACTCCGGTGTAATCACAACGTCCGAATTTAAGTGTCAGCAAGGCCATTCCATAGCTGAACGGTGCCACAGGTGGAATAACGTATCTGAAAGCAAAGATACCTCCGAGGAGATGGTCTTTAAACTCACCAGAAACCTTGACATATATCGACCCACAGGCGGTAGAGGAATCCCAAGTTTAACCAATTGCTCGTCGGGGATGGGGCGCCTATGATTTGAAAAGATCATAGACATCAGAATTGTGTCAGTGTACATCGAGCTCACACTACCACTTCTCTGAATGAGAGGACACCTCCTGACAATCAGCTACACTCGGACAAGAGCGAAATTCTACTGAAGAGAATGTAAGCACTTCCGAGTTTCCAAAAATGTTTACACAGATAAAGAGCTATGAGCACAAAGTCTTCTCTGGAAAAAACGGAAATCAAAGAGTAGATAGTAATATCACTCAAAACGTTTGTGAGCACTAAGATGTCTGCATGCTGAAACAGAAGTGAAAGAATAGGGTACAATGGGGCTCGAAAGGGTCGATCACGCCCTCCAAAACGAAGTTGCCCTGATTCCTTGCGTCCACCCAAGCCACCTCCTGGATCCCACAGTTGATAACACACACAGGGCCCTGAAATAAGTAGACTTTACAAGACTCAAAACCTAACAAATTAATCATGTCAGTTTTTATTGCGTACTGCAAGTATGATTTAGCAACTATTTACAACCAACGCTTTGGCGACTTCATGGAGTACTCATTGAAATTGAAGGACACGGAGTCTCCCGTAAATAATTCAAATCACAACATACTTCAAACAGTTCCAAGCATCCACTCCGCTTGTTAAGGGCTGTTCGGTTACAATCGAAAGAATAATGAGGCAGCCGTACCTAACCTACGAGGTATCCAACCAGGCATCAGCTGCTGCCGGTTGTAGTCCACAAGTATTTGAGACCCATCGATGATGTTATAATGCGCCATCTAAAACCAGAGGACCCAACCATATAACATAAGAAAACTATCACCAAAGCTAATCCTAAGATGTCCAAGGATTATATATATGATCCTGTGTTTCACGTGACAAGGTTCCTTTTGCATACATCACATCTTCCTAATATATAGAACGTACAATCCTTGCAAGGGAAATCATCAGCTCTAAGTAAATTCTGCAGTGAGAACGGCTCTTGTCAACTGGTCGAATTCCTACCTCATACGCATATAGCATTTCCTTATCAGATTCAAATTCCACAAAGGCGTATCCCTGAGAAGCACCTGTGACTGCCAGAGTTTCAAAAACGTGAAAAGACCGTCAAAATCTACAAATTAGCTGTAGCAGGACTAAAGTTTTCATGAGTTATGATCATCGACTTGAAACAGGTGCGACACTATATGCCGCTTGTCCTTTTGAGTTGAATAGTATATGCAAAAGCAGAAATAAGAAAGAAGAGCCCTCCAGTGATGCGGTTGCTGCGATGTGCTCTACGTGGTTTCTAATATCCAACAATCATGCAAAGCTTTTAGTTAAGAACGGAGAATAGCCTAACGCAAATATTCAAGAACCAGGAACTGTTATGCTCAGGAATATGAAGAAGTTCAATCTGGAGTGCTGTTGAATCCTCTCCTTCAAATATTTCTTAAACTCTCCATGTTTCTACCGCTTCCATTCACTCATGGTAGTTCCACAAAAGGCAAACCAGTTTTCAACTGCGCTCGTTCCTTCACCATGATCGCCGATGAAAAAACAACTTCTTTAGCATCTTGAAATTCCGGTTACACTTCGGATGTCACTACCGGACCATGATATTGCCTGCTATCAAGTAAAACAAGGGTGTGGAAGAGACGGAAACCTATATGACGAACTAGCCGGATATGCTTGACTTTGCCAAACTTGCTCATTGCCTGCACGCTAAAGCACGCACCCACGATTAGGAATTATTCACGATTCCTTCTCAATGTGCACGCCATAATAATTTGAAGAATAAAAACACACCTTGTTTATCTACACATGAATTTCCTTACCATCACTTCTACTGTCATTTCACCTGAGATGTTCCAACATACAGAGTAATATTCGCATATGACAATTTCCACATCACATCAACATTGTGATGTTGAACTCCTGTACTCCTGACATTAAATGGGGACTGCCCTAGCTTTTCTAGCACTCAGACACACAACATTCACCTGATTGAGAGTCTCCTCGGTAGTATGTCGAGCCAGTCGGCCTACGAACAGGGTACTATGAGGGTCGCCCACAGCCTTCTGGTCACCCGTTGGATCATCTGCAACACACGACGAGTAGAATGAGCCAACCACAAAAAGCTTTACCTTGACCAGCTCCTATACGTAAACTCTGCAGCGAAGCCTTTGCAAGAAGCAGCGGAAAATCAGTTGGCAGCCATATTCGTCCAATCCATAATAGCTTGCATAAAAACACTTCAGGAGCAATGTCACGGAGAGTTGGAATTCAGGACTCCATCACTGTAAGCATTATTGATAAGAACATTAAACAAAAAGCAGAATAATGCATCACCGATCGGTCTCAATTGTGGGACTGAGGATGCACGGGATTGCCGATGAGTAGTTGGGTACCAAACTTACAAAGTCCAGTAGAGGAAGCCAAGAGAGCCCGATAGATCGCGTTGTCGTGAGCGGCAGTGTCAGTGCCATCGATACTTCCCGCCTGGATGGGGTGATAAGTTGTTGCATAAAAGACTTGATTAGTAACCTGAGCCATGACTGTTCCTTCACCGTCTCTTCACAGTGTGCCTTCACGCCCTCCGCAATTACTCCCGACACAGAGCAGCAACATTTCATTTGCGAGGATTCTCGGCTGCATCAGAACTGGATGCCTGAAATTGTCTTCTACCGAACCGATTCGTTCGATCGCTGCAACAATCATGGAATCAGCTCACAAGGACGCTCACAATGTGCCAAACTGTTCGCAAAACAAGCACAGCTGAGCATCTATTTGTCGAAAGGTGGGGTACAACGTCACAACGACGGCACACGCACTCGATGAACGATCCGCCCGAACAAAACTGGGATCCAGTAAGACTACGAATTACAAGAATGAGAGTTCTCCCCACAATCGGAGAATTCCCAAGGCACTGGCAGTCACATTGATCCGACTACGATCAATAGTGTCCTTACTGCTACAGAGAAAGAACTCCGGGACCAAAGTCATCGAGATTTCGACTACTTGTCTTTCGATATTCCGCTGCTCCTTTTCTTTACTTGCCTCTCCTTTCCAGAGCGATTGAAAAATGGAAACGAGTGCAATACTATCTCGTGTCAGGTCCAGTGTTTCAGAGGACATGTGGATCTGAGCCTGTCCAGAACTCAGGCAATACACTTGTCCCTTTCATTTGAAACCAAAAAAATTCGAACCCTTGGAAATATTATTCTGTTTAGATTTCATCTTTGTCTCGTCTTCCAGAAGTAGATTTTAACTCTTTGAAAATACATATTACTACATTATATCCATCATTGTGAAGATAACACTTGTAATAGATCAATCAACAATATTTTTTAAAATAACGTTGATAGTTTTGCTTGGTTCTTATACTAGTCAAAGTGTGTGTTAAATTCATTATATCTACCAACCATCCAATTTCTACTTGGATGATATGATATCGTTATTAACACATGAACTTTATATATTTTAAAAAATTTACACATTAATGAACATAATTGAATCAAATCTTAATTAATATATGGGTTAACAATGTGATATTTAGAAATAGTAGCCAAAATTAGTTTATGATTATTTCTAAATAGATCTTATGTATTAAAAAAAGTTTGATCAAAAATTTTCCTTAATAAGGGAGTGCTGAGTTACTTAAACCCACATGATAGATTTTTATAATCATATTCATTTGTTTTACATTTAATAAATATGTATTTTTTAATTTGATTGAAATAATTTTATCAATTTTGATTTATGTTTCACTTGCTTGATTTATGTTTCTAAATTGATGTCAGAATATACTAACTGATTTTTTTAGCAATACCTCAACAATGATCAAATCACATATATTAACAACTGCTACTGTTGAATCAATTCTCAATTCCCAGAATACTTTGAAAAGAATTGTAGAAACTATAATTCAAATAATTAGAATAAAGAGGTTGTGTCGTGTGTGTAAACTCAAGAAAACAAAAGTGAGTTGCAAGAAGTGAAAGTGAGTTGCAAAAATAATCAATATATATGCTATGAAACTTACTTAAAATTCGTTAATATAGCATATTCGTTGATTCTTCAAAATATGATATACAGATATTCTTTCAACTTGTTGAGATTTTCTCAACCTTGAAAACAATGCGCAATAACACAAGTTACAATTTAAGAAATAATTGGTTGTATTTGTGTGAAGATATAGTGAAACATCAAAAACGATTTGATGCAATAAATAAAATATATACCAATTTATCCTCATGCATGCAAATTTATATTTATTAGATTATCTTACCAAAGAAACTTCTATGTTAAAAGCAGTATTGTGGAATGTAATTCCATTGAGAGGTGCTTCAATTCCTCGGGATACTACTATTGTCATTCAAATGTACATATTCGTAGTTCATTTTCAATTTATGCTCATCAAAATGTAATGTCTGTAATATGTTGTCAGCAATATTGCCGCTCATGCTGAATATCTCGTGAATGGCATCGCCTTCTACCGCGAGGAGACTATCACCTCGAAATCTGGCACTCCAAGGAATCACAGTGCGTTCAAATCCTTACAATCAAATCAGTTCAGGGTTATCCCACAATACTTAAAATTCGGTAATTAATAGTAGGTACAAGTATGCGTTAGTAGTCCCCAAAAGGCTGTAGAACGGCGACCACATCACCAGGAAACAAAAGCTCAGAAAGCTCGGAATCAACGGGTAGAAAGACCACAACAACTTCTGGAAAAAGGATAAATTAAATCTTTAGATATAGATTTTCCCACCCCCAAATTAATGGTAGCTTCCTTACGTATGTTTGTAGTCCGCGGGGACGATACAAAACAAGCACCACTAGTCTTTGACAATATATTCATGAAACTCTTTCAGAACTGCCTTGCCCACGCACTTGGCAACATTCAAATATTGCTTTTAAGACACATAACCGCTGCAAATGTAGCACCAAACCACCACTACGCACACCCTGTTTCAACGTGCGATTTTACTACTCCGATGGATGTCTCCATCCAAAAAATGGCTCCCTGACCATCTTCGGCTAACAAATTGCTGCAAAATGTAATTTCTATCAGGATAAGACTCATATGTATTCTTCCTACTCTAAGCCGTTGATATACTCTCCTGTCTAGCTAACAATAACTCGCAAAGTAAACTGCTCAAAATTTCCTCAACATAACCATCTTACTGATGTAAAAATTATGTACATACCTAATGCGTGGAGAATGATCTCAGAACTTAACACACTTGCACCGCGTTGTGGAGATCTAGAAGAACCTATCTAGATCAAGAAAATCAGAACAAGATAGGGAAGTTGATGAAGCCAACAAAAACTTTGATCTTGCTTTTCTATTCTGATCTTCAAGCAGCCGTAGCATAGAATGAAGCTCATCCGCTGCCCTTTCACTGACTAACTCAAACGTTTCATGAGCAAACGGCGTAAAGCGGGTCGTGTACTTGGAAGAAACAAGTGCATTCTGCTTTGGTCTGATTAAAGGGCGATTTGGTGGGCCCAGAAGCACGCTCACTTCACTTCCTCTTTGGTCCATATGAAGTATATCGTCAATTGCTGCTTCCAGCTCCATGTACCACTTCTGCCCGTAAGCTGAATTGCTCGCCGATCCATTCTCCGCTGTTTTACTACTTACCCTCAGAAGTGTGGACTCTGTTAAAAGCACGAACTTTCCATCGTCTTTCAAAGGCATACATGTGAAGTACACCTGCTGGCAAGTACTAGATAATTAATACATCAGAAAGGCCAACTTAGCTTCAGGAAAAACTCTGAAACAACTTAAATGTATTTCAAGATCTAAATGACTTTGTTGTGCTTCAATCTCTTACATTTTAACTTAGTAACAGCACATGTAAATTGTTGTGACTAGTAGTTATGAGGGCTAGATAGTAAGTATACATCTTATTAATAACTCTTACTTCAGCCACAAAGGTTACCCTGAAGTAAATTACTATTCCTTTAGGGTTGCCATTGTGGCTGAAGAGTCACCAGCCACTATGGTTTACGAATTGGGATCAGTGAATCCAGGCTCAAAGCTGAGCCTGACAGCTGTATAACTTGCTACTCAATCAATAAAATAAAGTAATCAGGTTAGAGAGTACATCTTGCCAATAATCATTCCCTGATTCCGTTAGGTATTGTTCACACATTTGAGCTAGTAGTTAACTGAGACGTGGGGTTGGTGATGACAATCTATCTGGATTAGAGATGGAACTTGAATCAAGATGAGAAATATTATATTTGGTGTGTGCAAGCTATGGCAAGTGATCTACCTGTATCACTTGCCAGCAATCAACATGCACTTGACATACACTAAAATTTCGAAATATTTTTATCCAAAGACACTATGGACCCTGCACAGAGTACTGAACAAGAAACAATGAAACTAAACAAGAGGCGAATAGACTACACGTCTAGACATTTGATTGCATCAACGTGCACTTCTAAATACTGAATGTCGGTCTTTTCATTCAAGTTGTACCTATCAGAAGTTCCCGTGAAAGCTAGACACTCATTTGATCATTCGAGACTTGACCTGACGTCATTACCTCAGTCTTGTAACGACCACCTTCAGCTTCAAGTAAGACTGCCTGACCTACGGCCCTCTCCCACGAATAGACCAGCAGAGGAGAATATTCGCTGATGTATCGTGGCAGGCGTACACGGGATGCTCGCCACTGTGCAGGTCTGCTGCTGTTGCGAATACTTTGAGCAGTCATACCTGCTACTTCTAAAATACTTGCGACAGGCCTCGCAACAACTCCAACGACACCAAGAGCAACGCCTACACATCCCGCAAGATATTCTTAACACAAACTTTGAGATGAGTTTCAATTCTCTGAATTTATCTCTTGAGTAAAACAAGATCATCAAGCAATGTGCAACTGACTATTCTTCTTGTACTGCACTACGCAAACTTCTTGCGCAAAAAAGTTTTTTACACATATAGTGACCTGATAGCATTCCGGGAAGCCCATGCCTTTCTGCTCCTCTGATTGGGGCTTGAAGCAGACCAGTTAAGCCCTGTAACCATCGTATACAAATTTGGACATTCAAGTAGGTAAAGTGAAGGGAGCAGGACTTGTGAAACCTACAAACCAAGATAACATGGATATAGACCTACATTTACTTGAGAAAAAACTACCACAACATTCTTAGGTGGGCTCTGCACATCCACACTATGCATGCAAGCAATTTGAAATTAGTAACGTACACTGAAGAGCCAACTTTTGTAGGTCAAAGAGAAGAAGGGAAAGGGTTTAGCGTTTAGGGGAAACCCTGAGAGGAAAATCATAGATGATCTTATGTGACCTACATGCGCATGCCGAGTAAGAGCAACTTCTGATTTCCATAACTTACCTCTAAAAACTCGTTTACCACACTGATTTCTTGAGATCCTTCCATATGTAACCGCCTCTCCATTGCCAAATCGTACTCCGAGTCCATGGCAAACACCGTCACTCCCTATGTGGTCACCGCAGCTCAACAAAGTGTTAATAAAAAGCGTAAACTGATGCATTCTTCAAGTTAGACTCACGAGGACAATCACTACAGAAATAGCTACTGTGATTCCTATTGCGCACTCAAGTTAGTGTTCGGTCTCATGCACACCGGAACTACCGGCTGCAAAGAGTAACTCCCGTCACTGCAAGAAGGAGATGGAGCAAAGAGATTTATTAACGTCATACCGACCTTTCGAGCTGCTCTGCTGAATCGGGTGGCTGCATTACTAAACGCAAAAACTGTGTTGGTGAAAAGACTGCGAGTCCCGTGAGCCACTCCTCTCACAAGCTCAGTAGGACTCTGCACATACATTGACCATTATAAACATTTTCAAAGGTCCATCACCAGATCTTAGGACAATTATGGGCGGAGTCTAGCGAAATATTGAAAGTCATGAGGTCGTAACTACTGAGAAAGAACAAAATCTATCGAAATGATATGCATACAGGACTTACTATATCGATTCAGATGCTAGTAGACATCACCAGGTGACCGCCAGATGCGATATAAAATCAGACGCTCAAGGACGAGTAAAACCTCAGACCTTATTAGTGACCTTGGTGAAGATATGAACTTGTACAGGTTACCTAAACCCTAATTCGCGATCAAAAGCTAATGGATAATTAAACAATTCAAAACAAATAAAGAAGATGAGCATGCCTGGACTATACTCGTGGCAGGAGCTGATACAAATTCCCAAACCCCTGATGCCATACTCCTTACAAATCCCACAGGATTGCCGAAAACATCGGCTGATCCAAGCACCTGCACATCGAAACCTATTAACGGATTCGTTTGCCACGGAAAAAAACAAAGAAAACAACAATTGAACTCTGTTTGTATTGAAAGATCTTGCAAGCCAAAACGGAAGGAGGCACTACGTTAACAACATAGCATACTGAGTTGAGCGTATTAGATCTTGTCACGATTATTTTGCATTCTCAGACGACTCGAACCTTGAAAATGGCAATTTCACAAATGACATTGCACGACTCTGCCTGCTTTCAGGTAGCAAGAAAAACAGTCTAACCTTGTAAACTTCTTGCAGAAGTTGACGAGTGTAATGTCTGGTAATCATGCCCCATATGACATCCCAGCTCGCTAAAGGATGTGCCAGCTTAAGCTGTCGCAGGTGCACCGGTGCACCTTCCACGTCAGCTAAGGCTCTAACTTGTCTCTGACATAAAGCCAAATTATAAGGATGGCCTTCAGTAATGAACCGTAGGTACTACCATTGGAATGAAGTCATGGGACAACCACCGAGACGTGAGATATGATAGCCGCGAGTATAAAAAAACCTAGCATCAATAGAACCCTTGATAATGTCTAAGCGAAATACAATTCTAATGAAGGTCGATTTCCTTAAAGCTAGAAGCTACTTAACTACGTGATACGTACACATTCTACCTGTCTTCAGATTCCTTGTTGAGAAATCTATGCAGCAGAAACTAAAGACAATCAGCGTCTCACCTGGAGCAGGGTTCCAGTCATCCATAAAAGAGATCGGGCTGCTGCTCCACGACCACCTTCAGCCAGCCATGGCGCACTAGAGAAACTGAGAGCGAAGAGAACTTGAATCAGCACAAAAAAATTAAGATACAGAAACTAAACTATCCAAAGTCGATGAAACTATAAAAATGTAATTCAAGTCGGATGCAGTCTAGATCAGCTTTCCATAATTGATTGTAGAATTGTAAATTCCAGTTTACTTCTCGCCTATACAAGTAACCGACTTTCAAACAATTCTGAGAACTTGAAGCAGCATAAACAAACTAAGATACAGGAACCAAACTATCCAAACTCGATGTAACAATACGAAAGTTACTGTAAGTCGGATGCAGTCTAGATCGGATTTACATAATTCATAATAGAATTTTAAATTCGACTTTTCTTCTTGCCTACACAAGTACCCGACTGTCAAACACTTCTAGGAAGGCATGTAGGAAAAGACAAGTTGGCTTTGTATATAGTTACCTTACACTCATGTTGATTGGTGCAACGCGAAGGATCTCTATGTAGGCTTTGTGCCTTTCTTTCGCAAATGAGAAAAGCTTATCTGATTTCCACTCAATAGGCTCTACTGCCACAGCAGCAGCCCAGCAACGGTATTCCTCCAATCGCTTCACTTGTTTGGTAAATCGTAAAACACTGGTGGAAGGGATTTGTTCCATGTCGTATTTCCATGGAGCTGTAGAAAAGGGTTGCATAGGTGCGCCATACAGTTGGCTTCCATTAATCACAGACCAGGGTTGAGAGGTTCTTGTCAGAGAAGCATTTGCATCTCCACAAAAAGCACTCCACGATATACTCTCCGTAAGCTGTAGTAGAGAAGAAACTACTCTTTCCTCCAACTCGAGACGAAGGGGCTCCAACCTGAATGAGGTACAAACGCGTGGTTCAGTCAGAAAATATGTATTCGAAAATAGTAGACTAATAAATATTCATGATCCTTGGAATGCGATGCTTCACATCATACTCTGGCTTAAATGTCAACGATTTTTTTGGTTTTTCGGTACCAACCAAGGTATTTTGGTCCTCATGTAATGTTTACCATGACTATTATGTATGGACATATTCGGCTCAATACATCTCTCCTTTGATAAAACCAATACTGCTTTTTGTACGACGCATAATACAGAATAACCGACGCGAACTGCGAGAAGATCCTAGAGCATCAAGCCTCAGCCCTAATGCATGCTTCAAGAAAATACTTTCACGTTGTTCCAAATGAATCAAGATAAAAGTGGTACATGATCTTGTGTGGAAGGAAAGTACTTACGTCATTGTAATGTATTGGAAACATACAACAGAACCAGTTGGCTTACGCCACCTAGCAATGGACATAGCAAAAGCGGCATCCTGCAGCAGCTGCCTGGAATTTCCACCTGTTTGTTGAGTATTCACATTAACAATTTCTCTGCCTGATTCGTCGGCGTTGATAGGCATGATCGGCGGAGACTTCGCAACTGATAGCATGACAGGATAGACAGCGTAACGTAGCTGATTATCAACTTGAAACCAAGCGACGTCAAGCTTCAAAATCTGCTGATGTTGACCTTGTAGGAACTGCACGCTTAAATCTTTTGCACAAGCGTAAACCACTTCCTAGAAATATATGGAAGATTTGTCAGAATCTTTGCAATTTCGTAGAAAAAACATAGGGAAGAAATCTGACGTTCTTTGGTCTACAGAATCCTAGCGTTCGAATATAACCAGAGTTCAATAGAAACTTTAACTGACATTCTGCTCAATACTGCTCAATACCTATTACATAAGTAGATGCGTACGTATAAGATTGTTCTCTTCTCGCACTTTTCACCCTAGATACTATAGCAGCAATTAGAGCATGTACACAAGCATGTGGGATCACAACATTAAAGAGTACACACTCCACGCACTTGAAAACTTGTGGGGCCTCAACTGCCCTTCTACTGCATTTTGATGCGAGGTCAACTCAAGCCCTGGCACTTGGTTTAATCTTCTATACTACTATCACCATCTCATACTCTCCTGCACTGGTTTGTATGAAGTGGAAAAGAACCCCTCACTCTCCCTGTAGTCTCCCAGGAAACCTGTCTTAGATCAGCGTCCCCATCTTCCTGTAGTCTCCCAGCTCGTTTAAAAGGTAGGGAACACGTAGCCAATAATCGTTACATGGCTCAATATGTCAAATAAGTTGCTACACTGGAGGCCTATAATGGACTCAAAATTTTCCTCTATTTGGACAAACGGACGTAATTCATGGGAAGACTTCAGCCAAAAACTGGCGGCTTTTAGTAGTAAATCTTAAACCCTTCTCCCCTCTATAGACTCTCCGAAGTTTAAAGAAACGGGAAGCTTTCAGCGTAGATCATACACGTCCATCATGTCGAGTACATGTTTCCTATACTTTACCTGAGGCTGGGTGTCGATGATCGAGAATCCTACGTACGCAAGTTTCACTGAGAACTCATCAAAGAGCTCAGATGAAGTTTCCACCTTTTGACCACTTGAGAAATGCTCACCCGAAGTGCTTCCATCAGCCCCACTTGAGCCTTTAACCAGATGCACCGAAGAATCCACTATACTCAACACCTACAAGAATTAATCCCCAGTACTCCACAGTAAACATAGGGGTATCAACAATGAGCCCAGGAATTTCTTCACCACGATTCACGAACATTGTGACGAGACATATCGCGGTGTATAAGTTTGTCAAATGTCTATCTCTTCAAAATGAGCGGGATTCTATGTTCTTGACTGCCTGCCGTCGCTTACATACAAATACAGGGTCCCAAGAATACATGGCAAGAGCATGTCATATAGTTAAATTTCTTCCCTCAAGGCAAACCTGTCAGTGTTTTCGTAGCATGCACTCATGACAGTGCATTGATCAGGTAACAAACAAACCCAGCTTCATAAATGGAATCTGCGAGATACTAAAAAATACGAAAAAGTTCGGATTCAAGCACCAATACAAGCTAAGGAGCAGCAAGCAAGTTCCCAGACAAAACGAAATAAGGGGAAAAAACCATGTGATATGAATCGTTTTCTACTCACTCTTATTGGTCCTTCAGCTCGCACGTGTACCAACCACTTCCTTTCGGCCTTCTGTTGTAACGAAATTCATATTAGTCTCCCAGAGAATATTCAGTAAGTAATACATGTGAGATGAGTATTTTATAGAATGTATATCACAACGCAACGGAAAGGCTAAAATAGACACTCCTTCCTAAGATGCAGAACTTGAGGGTATCGTATTACGGCCCACTGGTGACCAGCATTACAATAATTAGTTTAGAAACAAATGTTACCTCTGAAGTTGCGGCAAGACTGATTGATGGATATTCTTTGACTTCATCCAATCCATACGCTCCTATAGGGCGACCAGCTCCCGGAACCTGTGCTCATATTAAGAACACAGGACAACAAGAATTAGTACTTATGCACTGGTAAATGCTCCACAGAATGACGCCAAGTTCTGTGTTTGTTCGGACGACAAGAGACCGTAAAACAAGCTTCCGGAGAAAGAAATGAAAAGACGTACTCTTCTTTAGTCTTTAAAAATATTAAAAATGTGATCCCATAATAAGATTCAATCTCCGAAAGCAGGAAGAAGCTACAAACCATTCAACCTGACCTAAGACCGACCGAAGGCAGAAATCAAACCTCAATCACCAAGCGATGTGGCCTACAAGGTTCATCCCAGGCATAGCTGCAAGAGCTGTAAGATTGCAGCATGTTTTCCATCTTTTCGCACTTTTGCTGATGAAAGCGTAGCCTCTGCACTTTTGAAAACAAATTTCCTCGTTTAGACATAGGTCTTATAAACTACGTGCAGAACTGATGGGGTATGCGTGTCCCAGCAAAATCAAGTTGGTGGAATACTGGAAATCTTGTGCTGAATGAAAGACCAATGCACCTCTAGCGTAAAATTCTCAATCCGGTAAGGCATGAACCCAGTCTCATCGTTAGAAAGTAGAATCAGACAAGTCCCGAGACCGCCACCAGCAGGGCCAGCTCCCTCTGCGCCACCAGCGGATCCTCCAACAATGCTAACTTCCACCCGCAGCATCTGTGTAGCGCCCGTTGTGTGGTTGCGTACTTTAACCTGCGTATCTCCCAATTGATCTGGGGCGAAACCACCGGACCAGTCCCATCCATGATCATCAACGCGCACGGACACTAAGAACTCTCTGCGGAGCAACTAAAAGAAGTCAGCTCGCCCTTCAACCCAAGGAAACAATGTCCGAATCCATCAAAACTTAAAAGATATCGACGAGAGATATCATTGATACAACAATATAAAGAGGACTCCACAAAGTTGGTCACTTTCTTATCACACATACTGCATGTGGGTGTTTTGACAACCACTGTCTTCACAAAACTTTGTCTCTTTAAAAAATGCTAATATGCAAATTGGTGGGAGAGACACTTGATATCGCCACCAAGTAGTTCAAGTATTTACATCAAACGAAAATCTGTTCAGTAGGAATCAAATGGGAAAAAGAAGCCCTTTCTAGCACTTTACACATGCACGGTGGAACAAGTCTTGGTAATTTACCTGCTTATATCATGCCAATGCAAGTGAGCATGTTTTCCCCTATCTAGCCGCTGGAATGCATCCGTTCCTTGCTGTTTGTAGCAAAGAGCCTGCTTGGAGACGTTTGCAAGAACGAATCTACATACAAACAGAGTGTGTTTTAGGATCCTCTTCGACCATGACCACGAAAAGCTTTTCGTCCTATTGGTTTTAAGGGCTGCAAGATATTACCGATCTCAATCCTGATGCGCTGAACATTCTAAGGCGAAGAAAATCCTAAGTTATTTCATTCTGGAGGAGAGAAGCAACTCACCGTGGCCGAAATGTTATAGTTTTAGTCTTTCCCGCACATGATCCTAAAGCTGGAGCAGATATTACAGCAACAACATATGCTCCAGTGCTGTCTGGTTGTGGAATAGTGACTACGTTGATGCCTCCTGGTGGTTCCAGCAGAAACGGACGTGACCACATTCCTTCAGACGAATCCTTCTTTCCTAGTTCATTCGGTCTAGTTCTTACGATCCTGGCCCGCAGGTGCGGTTCACTTGCATCTGTGCCTTGTACAGGCGAATACATGACCATTTGGCTGCTAACGCTCTCGAGCTCGGCAGGTTTCTGCTGCTCAGCAGTTACTCCGTGTGGACCATCTCCAAAGGCTTCCTTATTCTTTCCTGACTGCCTTGATCCAGTTGAAAGCGGCGGTTTTCCACTGTAGTTTCGATGTCTTGTACCGATTTTGATGGAACGCCTCACGACTGTCTCAGTTACTTCCGGTTCAGGTGCCTCGTAAGCAGCCTGGAGCCCACTTATAGTTCCAAAGAATCGAGATCCTGCTGATGTGAAGGATTTTTCCTCACTAATCGCTTTCTCATTTCTTGTTCCTCCAAGATGCTGCTCTAATCCAGAAGATATATCCACATCACCATCCATAACGGCTAAGTTGAGACAGCTACAATTGTAGAGCCAGAAAGGAGACGAGATACGAAGCTCTCTGGCTCCACTCACTAAGTCTACAGTTGTTTCCGTCTCAATACATACAGACGAATCTGCAGAAAACACATCGAGGAATTAGCGGCAACTTTACTCCTTACTGTCTTTGATCAGGAAAATACTAGTGTCTGATAGCATGAATCACTGCACCCTTCCGACTTGCTCTGATGAAATGTAAATCATAACCTAAACTTGTTTGAGACAAGACCTATCCGGATATAAAACAGATAGTTCGTGTCAAAGACTTCAGGATATCGTACAAGTGTTGGTCTCTGGTTTGAGGATTAATGCTTCAACGTGTGTCACATTAGCATCCTGTTCCGTGCTTCTTGTCATATCGGTTGTCAATACTGCCGCATTTGTGACTTTGACAGAAGTTGGCATATAGGATGATGCCAGGATAGTCAAGCTCAGATCGTGCATTGTATCAATATCATATACAAATAAGGAGTCCCCCTGCAGAAAACATATCAATAATTTTCAAAAAGAAAAAAGAGTCACAAAAATACTCGAAACCGAAACCAACAATAAGCCATTCTAGACGCTGATAAGCATGTATCAAGAGCAGTTAGAAATGAGGATAGAGATCAAATATGTACTGAGCAGTTACATACTTGGGAAAAGTGAGTCTAGAAAATCCTGTCAGAAGTCTCTGGAGCACTACGACATATAAAAGAAAAATTTCCAAGAACAAATCTGGGCCAAGTAAACTTATCCTGCCCAATTTATTACTCACCTCTGGGGCGCAAACACTGTTCACAACACCAGCTCCACTCTCGATTTTCAGTGTCAGATTGGAAGGTAAACAGTTCTTGATCACCAGCGGTGCTTTAAGAGTAATTTCCCAAAACAGGCAGCTTTTAACTGCTTCTGATCCATTTGATAAACCTATGCCAAGGTTATCTCTAACATTGGCTCGCCCGGTAGAGAGTTTTCGACCTCCTTTGCTATGAGAGAAAGTATCAGCCTCGGCAGCTGGAACAGGATAATTCATAACAGTAATACAGCACCGAAAAGCACCATCACTTGGGTGATAGGGATAGCAAACAACTGGCCTGTGAAACCCAAACTGTGCTTCTGGCAACTGAAGTAAATTTGGCAGCAGCTGTGGTTCACTCCACAGATAATTGCTGCCAACAGGTCGCCACCTTATCCGTCCAGTTTCCGCAAGATGGACAGGAAGGGCCATCACCTGACCAGGAAGCACAGGATCCATGACCTGGCAAGAGTATACAAAAGCATTTCATGTCATCTCAACTAAATGGCGCATTCGAGGTGTTACTACGTTTCAAGAAGAATTCAGCCGTTGCCCATTCAAAACTCTCCGTATTGAGACGGAAACTTAGAGAAAGAGAGAAAACAATAGCTTTAAACTTTTCAGGTCAGTCAATTTCACCTTTGGAGATAAAACAAATGGAAGATCAAACCGAAGCTCCAAAGCAACTGAGGTTGTGTTGACAACGGAAACCTGAAAGAAAGTACAAACGAGTTATAGAGAGGGAAAAACTCCATATTACACATCTGCTAAGACAAAGACAAAGCTCGTGAGGGATACTCATAAAAAGTACAAATTACACGAAAACTATCAACAAGTTTCGACCTACCCACCATTGAACACAGCCGAACTAGCTTGCTATAACGCTGTGCAGTAACTTCGAAGTACACAGGAGCGTGGAACGATTCTCCTTTCTCAGACTCAATTTCCTGAAATGATCCTTGAGAATGCCGAAAACCCCCATCTCCGGACTCTCCCTCTGAGAAAACTGCCTCAAAAAATCTAGACCCCACAAGATCGATGGACATCGGTAGGGATGGTCTGGCAGTCCCCTCGAGCTGTACACATATACGTCTATGAAGCTGAAGCATGTTGAATATCTTCTTCGCATTGTATTCATCGGCAGCAGGACCAGCTCTTCGTCTGTCAAATACCTCATCGACTCCTTCCTCAACAAATAAAGGTACGGAGCTTCCAGGCTGCACTATTTCACCGCCTCCTGATCCCCAAGTACTCCTTACAGAAGAACGAGAATCTTCCTCATCATGCTCCTTGTTAGAAGAACCAACAAGCCAAAAGCAAATCGGGATGCCTGTATCATTCTGAAGCCAATATGGAGCAAACCGCCTCATTGACAAGTTTCCAGCAGACTGAGAGTCTCTGATGTTGAAGTCTGTGGACAAGTCATCTCCGGTGCTAGTCTTCCATGAATCGTTGAACATCTCAACTGCTCGCGATACGGCCTGAAACGAAGTCATCATGCAGACAAAGTAATAAATTATACCTTTTGGATCATAACCCGGTTGAGAAACTGATGATCTAGTGAAAGTTTTCTTGGTGGCACTTGGGAACAAAGACCACTGTAAGACATACCCTCAAATAACACTGTCTTTGTTTACTCCCCTCTCATAGCCTCTCACTTCTTCGATCTGTGTGTCACTACCAGCACCGCTCAACGAGGCTACGGGGACTCTAGTGTGCAGGCTATGACAAGCAAATACTAATAAGAATATTTTTCACCCAACATTGACGCCCGTTTTTCTATCCTTAACTTCTAAGATACCTGGATTAAGTGGAAAAGAGGAATCCTCCAGTACTACAAAAGCACCAACTATACAGTACCAGGCTACGAAAGGTTGAACCTTCACAGCACGGTTGATGACCAACTCTTCTATCAAGGAGAAATAACGGGTTCATTCAAGAGGTCAAAATCACAACCTTCTTGCTAAATTCTTGCAAATCTTGTAGAGATCCTTACAAGATGGGATGAGTTTGTAGACGATTCAAACGGGAGTTTGTTGAGGTCCTATCTTATACTGGGGGACGATCGTATAGCTACGTCCTTCAATCTCAGCTATGAGGAGATTTTAAGCGTAAATTCGAACTTGTGCGGGAGATTTGCAATAAATACCTGCACGAGTGCTTCCGTAATATTCACATTTAATGGAGCTGATGATGTAACTTCAAACTTTGTCCGGAAGGGCCGGCTTAGACTGCTGTTACAATCATACCTCCTGCTCATCCTGTAGCACAAACTCCAGGGCTCTACAAGGGGTTCCCATGCAACCTGAAAAAGAATGAACCGAACCTTACAAATATGTAGCGAGAGATTAAGGTATATGGCAACAACTTTCTTCCTAGAGTCAATGATCGCAACTTTACTACAGTTCTCAAAAGTGAACCTAGTTTTGGTCACAGTTAAGGATCCTGGTTGGTTAGTACTTTCGACGACCATTTCAGTTGATTGTACGCTGTTTAATATGATGCGTATAGAGCACAAAGGGACCAGCTGCCGAGGTTCAGTAACCAAAATAAGTGAACTATCGCTAATAAAGGCAAAAGGTAGAAATCAATCATCTAAGTATCCAACTCCTTCGATGATAATTCGTAATTCTTCTCTTTTGTCTTCGGCCGTCCATGAGGTGAGGTCATTGTTACTGTCTAAGATTTGACTTTGGACTCCTACAAATGCATGCTACTTACTGAGGGACAGTTAGAGATGTACCTTCTGAATGTTGTGATAATTTATTTCGGCTTCAGAGAAAACTGAGGCCTCAAAATCAAGTTTCCTCCAGCCGGCTTGAGCAACGATCTTCCTCAAAAGAACTTCGATAATGGGCGAATTGCAACTCCACTGCATTGACATTGTTGATATCAACAGTCAAAAGACTCTCTTGAAAAGTACAGACAAACCTTGAAACTGAAGGTCCAAAGTGCAATATATTTCAGTTGATGCAGGTGAATGAGTACTTAATATCTCGAAGTGAAAGTTACTCAAAAAGTGCAGAATCGCATACTAACACCAAATAACAACAGAATTTGGTTATCAACTTGCAAATAATATATGCGATAGCACTCATTTCTCCTGAAGCTAGCACGACAAGGTGAGTAAACTAAGAACTTATAGTTGCTGAATATATCATAAAAACAAGTTCAAATAAGGCCCACTTACACGGCTATCACTTAAAAGGAGAGACAAGCTTTGACTCTGAAGGTCCAAACTGCAATACATTTCAGTTGCGGCAGATGAACGAGTCCTCAGTGGCTCGAAGTGAAAGTTGCTAAAAAAGTGTAGAATGGCATAGGAACACCAAACATCGACAGAATCAACTTCTACAGAGAATGTCGTGATCATCCGCGGTGTTTCATGCACATATATTTGTCCTTTGATCCTTATGTCTGTGGCTTGCATAAAAGGCATGCGTAGTTTGTGCTTCTTGAGAATAATTTCTTCAAGGGTTGCTTTTGTCTGGGTGATACAAGCAGACAACGTCCACGATCTATCCCTGTTTAGTTCAAGCTCATCGATTCGAATTGTCAACGATAAGATAATATGCTTGCCCGCATTACTTCCCTCTTCAAAATTCTGACTCCCCTCTGTCTGGTCTTCGTCTATAGGTTCATCTATATCTGCCGCAACTCCAGTCCATGACACAATCCTCACCAGTTGCCTTCTCGTCGGCCGTGGTCTAGGTACAGGTCCCACAATAACATCTTCTACAAAGTCTGGCAAAATTAACGTCGTCTTCAGTAATCCGATCTTAAAGCGAAGAGAACGTTCAGTATGAGCATTATCATCTTCAGGTCTTAACGCTTGCTGAGCAACTAAGTCGACACCCATTTCACCATAATCCTCGCTCCCACGATTGCGTAAAACTTCTATCGGTGAGCTAGATGCTTCATCCCCAGAAGGTAATCCAACGCCTCCTGTGACCGCAGGTAACACCCCAGTCACCTGCTCTTCTGGTGATTCAAAATGTGGAGATGCTGTTACAAAGGCACCATCAACTTGTTTGGAAGATGGCGAAAAAAAAGATGAGATAGCAGGGACAACGAGAGTCCAGGAAGCAATGTGGAACCACACTTTGATGTCGGGGAGAGCGATGTGAAGCTCATGATTGTCAGAGGCTGACCGAGTAACCAACTTAAAGGATGATCCAAACTCATCTCCACTATCTTCCACTCCACTAACATGCAAAAGGTTTGTTAAGCTCGAACCCTGTAACAAGTTGATTGATAGCACCTCAATACTCAAACTCTCGATATCTCCTCGATTTAAAACGCATATCACGAGGAGATTCTCGACCTGCAACTTAGCGACATCCATCAGAGGTTCGTGACACCCCTTGATAAAAAGGGTCAGATGAGCGACAGACCATTTCATACTGACTGGAGAGTCAGTAGAAACGGGAGGAGTTAGACTTCTGAAAGACGATCTGTCCTTTATCCAATAGTTTACGACACCTTTTGCATACGCCTTGTGTTTCCAAGGTAGAGAAGAAAACTCCTTCTCAAACACTCTTAGTAACTCAACGCCCCGTCTTGTAACACTTCCTGTTCCAAAATATCCAAAAAATATTAAGACTTTCATTCTAGAAGAGATCCTGGAGGAAAATACAAAAGCACATACAGATCACACTATGCGCATATGGAAGCCAAAAAATTGAAGCGTTTTTGCTCACATTTCGACTGAAGAACTTATTCTTACCAGCTAAGTTGAGAACAAGGCTTGATAGATCTATCTTTACATTTATAGGACCTGCTGGCGAGGTGTTCAACTCTCCGGAAGATTTATCCGATACAGGAAGTTCAACAGTCATTTCTCCATCGGCCCTTTCCACCAAAGTCAACCCACTTCCATCGATTGATTCTTCTGACTGATACAATCCACGAGCTGTCAGTGCTAATTCACTACAGCTAATATATATAACATCCACTTCTGATGGTTCATCCGAAGAGGACGCGCTGTTAGATACCCCAGGTTCATCACTCCGGGTTCGAAACCCTGACACAGGTAGCTCAGCGGGTGTGAAAGAAAGAAAGACCTTCGGTAAGGAAAGCTCCAGATACTCGCTGCAACCAGATTCTCGTGGCAACAGCAGCATGGAGTTGATTATTTCCACCTTGCAAACAACTATGCTCTTACTAGTACCTGCTATGAAGCTATACCCTGTGGTACCAATATCTAACAAGTTCTCGCCGTTGATCGAGAATGACCATTCTGAGCTTGTGCAATATCCTATAAGCACCGCCAAGTAGTCAATTAGAAGTATGCAATGAACATTCTGCAAGGTAATGTCGACTTCCATGAGACTGTACACTAGTCCAGATAGACTCCTCTGTTTGCGAGTTTTTATCACAGTAACACTGAGAGTTGCCACTAACCCATTGGAAGAGTTTTCGAACACATCTCCCCCACAATTGCCAGACGCCCAAGTTGGTCCTTTCAGTCTAAATTCCCTAGCTTCAGCAAGTACTTTCAGTGAGTCATGACCAGCCTTGGCATTAAAAACTGAGACTTCAGCATCTGCGAGCACCAAACTGCCAATGATGCCACCCGGATCGTAGAGGTGAAATATCAGGTCCTTAAATTGAACGGCAACGTCAGGCCCACTTCCAAGCTCTTCTTGCGACGATGAACTCTTTCTGGAAGGAGATCTCTCAGATTCGTTAGACAATACCTCCGTTTTTTCATCTAGATGCAGACCAGTCCTTTCCTCCTCTGCAGTTGCAACAATTGGCTTGGCCTCTGTCACCATTGTGACAAACCAATAAATAGCTCTCATGACTTTTGGGTGACAATGACATTCCATACCCTGTAGATGAAATTGTATGGCTGAACTTCTTTGACCGCTATCATTGGATCTTGATATTTTTGCCGCAAAAGCGTTCTTGCTCGACGATGCCTGAGGGTTGCCAGAAGTATTATCTTCTGATGTATTTGTACCCTTCTTGGATGAACTGTACAAACCTTCAGAAAAAAATAGCAAGTATCTCAGGGAACTTCCGGCTACCTCCTTTGCATCCTCCACGTGAAACCTGTTCACAATGAAGGCAACCTCCTCCTTGCGATTGTTCCAGCGTGTAAACCTGCAACAGCACTTATTAGTGATCAACGATGAAGAGGATGCAACTTCTACTTTGTTATAAAAATGACGTAAACCTGGAGCTAATCCCTTCCTTTGTTCACTATTCGATCAGCCAATCTCGAGACTAATACAATATACTAATCTACCCCCCTACATGAAATGAACTTGAGTGATACCTTATATTCGCATCATGCATCTGGGCAACCAGAATCATCTCTTGGAACACAGAACCGGATTCGCCATCAACGCTCAAGCTCACAGTAACCATCTTCAGACAGAAATTTAACTCTAAAGCTGCCGCCATCACGTTCGATACAACAATCTGGCTTGATGAACTTTCTCCCTCCAAATTATCTCTCAAGTCACCGGATTGGCTCTCACAGGTTCGCGAGTCAGGGGCAGTAAACTGATGCCTTCCACTTGGAGTGGGCTGAAGAGGCCCGAGATCTTCGCTTCGGGCCATCTTTTGAAATTTCAATATTTTAGCTACTACTGCCTTCAAAGCGACACATTTCCACGAAGACAAATGAAGTCGAAGGGAGGTGATTTCTCCTGACACCTATTAAGTACGGATGCGCATGACTCAGTTAGACAGACCTTCAAGAAACAAAACTTTCCATGAGGAAAGCTGCACGGTGAATCACATATAAGGAGCGAGTTTTTAGAAAATCACTATCCTATGGTCCATCCCACAACAAAGATTGAACACAGACCTTCACGCAAGCCGTCTTCATCGAATCGCCTGGAAAGTAGCAAATGGCTAGCTGCAAGTTGAATCGTTCAAGAAGATGTGATTCTGGCTTTGCATCATAGTTCAATCTCTCCTGCAAGTTGGAGGACTGAGAGACGACGATGACCTGGGCAATAGTTTCACAAAACTGATTGAATCATTACAAAACCTTTTACGGTAGGTGAACAATGGAACAATTCACAAGGAGGAAGTAAATGTCCACTTCAAGAATCCACATACCTGTATACCAACCATTCGTATTTCTAGCTGCTCATTCGAGCCAAAACCCCTTCGCAATCTCTGGTTTCGTTCCATGTCCTCGTTGGAAGAAGCGGTAGATTGCAACTCTGTGGACTGAACGAGCAGAGAATCCCACGCCCAAACCTGATTCATCTCACGTATAGGGGTCACTTATCACCAGAAAAACGAGGAGACTTCAAAGGAGCTGACCGTTCAAAAATAGGTTCAGAATTCTCATACATGGTGGTGTTTTACCACTAAAACCTTCCCTATCCAGTGTCAGTTGAATGATTTCAAAGCCCACGGGGATCGAAAAGCTGACCATGCGATTCTCGATGGAGTCATCTTAAAATAAATCCAAAAGGCAAATTCCAAAAGTTTCAGATAAGAGCATTTTACCATGAGGACACCATCTGTTGACATAATGTTTTCCGGAAATAAAAAGGTTGGTTTTTGTACGTCTATGTGCCAACCAACTCGTTTCCCACTTGCAAATGTTGATCTGCAATTGTCGTATCCCTGAAGACTATGAATATGATACCTTTTTTCGTTTGGACTTTTAAACACATGTCTCAGGAGGCTTGTTTTTATCATAAGAGACATGATGATCATGCTGTAACACAAAAGATGACATGCTTTCGGGATGGACAAATGCAACAGCATGGAACTCAGTACATATCTAGTAGCAGACATCCGTATTCGTAAAATCCTTAGTAAGCTCTCCAACATCCACTAAAAAACAAGATGAAACTCAAGATTTACAGGAAGTTAATAGCTGGCGCTGATCTACACATGACGGTGAGACGGCTTCAATGCCAGGGAATGTGAGAAGAACATAAGAATAAATTCACAACCACCTGTGGACTAAGAGCATTTTAACTCCATATAATTAGAAGTGGTATATATCTCGATAACTTTGACAAGTGAGACATGCGCGAAAGCTTTATCTTCATCGGGGACAGCTTAAAATGTGTTACATACCCTGTTTCAGAGCAGCATTGTACTGATGAATTTCCAATTTCAGCCGAATATGTTGTTGCCTGCAATGATACACTTTAGGCAGTGAGAAATAATATCATCAGTTTACTGAACGCTTATCATGCTAAAACATATTCTTATATATGATTGCAAGTACTTTCAAGGCACTTGTGAGTCATAGATAAATATTACAATTTCGGTTCTGAGTAAACCTTCGAGCTACTCTCATGAAGTGACTTATAAAGGATATATTGCAGATGAGAATTTCAAAGTCACATTTGCAACAGAAGCATTTAAAAAAAGTAGGAGGAAGGGAAGAAGAACTTAAGCTAGATCATATGGTACAGCTGATAAAAACTGAGGTTCAAGATGATAATTTGCGAAATACTCCTAACTGAGCACCAAATGAGGCCCCTACTCAAACAGATTGTGGTTCACTGACCTGATTTTTTCATACTGAACTTAATGAGAATGGATAAAGCAGGGTATATTGGAAGAATCTGTAATGAGAAAGCCAAGCAACTTAAGACTCAAAAACTTCGTAGTAATGTGATAGCTTACGAGTTCTTCTCGTCTTTCATAAGGAGTGGGCTTTGAGAAAAAGTCGAGGGCTTGTTCTATGAACATTGGACTGTAAACAAATTCAAGTGGTTGTACCGAAACCTGCGCACAAACGATGAGAAACGCAAGATAATCAGCACTCACACCCTCATAAGAGTGGTGATTGAATCCGTGGTATGAGATACTGCTCATATGAAGTTCATTCCTGAACAGGTTAATGTAGTTAATTAACTCGACTGATGCTGATTGCATTGGACATTGAGAGAATAAGCCTGAGAGTTGCACAGCGACCAAGACTGTCGTGACCATGATTGGTAGGAATTCGTTCTAATTTTGCCAGTTTTAGACAATTTTTCTGTAGTGCAGTCGGTCAAAAGTTTTGAAAGTTGACGCAGAACACAAAAGCCTAGTCATAGGTTCAAAATACAGATGAAACAAGGAAGCACAGAGAAGATTTACACATACATAATCGTGTAACATGTGAATAAGCAGGCCAGACACTTATATACCTGTAAAAACAAAAAGTGAAAACTAGTCTGACTAATAAAATGCCAAGGAACATGCATAACCGCCAGAAGTAGTTATCAGTATCAACTCTTCAGCAAATAATGAGCGTCATGAACAGGATGTAGGACTGACTAGGAATTTTAGAAGAAGCACATCGTATACACGTTGTGCAAGCGTGCCCATCATTCTGAGATAGTACTATTACACCTGAGAAGACACCTGAGAGTACTATTACATGGCATTTAAGAGTCTTTACATGGACAGTAGTTCCGAAACCTTGGCTCGAATTTGTCAGCTCCACCTCCACGACCAGAACCGGCTCATTCAGCTCCCCGTGAAGTGTGGAGAAAGAATCTGATAAATGATGACCGTTCATTGTCTCTAATCTGCTCTCGCTACTACTTTGGACAAGAGCAGTACTTACTCCACCCTCTGACCAACTTTGTTGTCCGGCCAAACTAGACGAACGACGAATGGACTGCTTTGCCTGCGACATTAACAGATCGACTGTAAGGAGAAGAATGAAAACAAACATGGCACATGGTCTAGAACTTAATACCTGCCAATTCAAAGCAGTTCTATTCCGCAGGTCTATTACAGATCATGGGAATTAAATAAGTCTCAACAATGAAAGAACCAACTGCTGATGCAGCAAGGAACCTACCAATATTGGTGAAATTCGCACCTTGGGTGCAAGAATGCGTGGAAATTGAGATCCTGAAGTGCAAAGGTCGACAACTTCAAAAGATGGGACCATAATCAAGACACTCGTCGAATCCAGCCATTGTGTAAAAGTCACCGATGTTCTCCGCAAAGATACATTCACGATTTCTCTATTACTACAGAAGACAATCAACAAATCAGATGTCGAACACACAAGCAGCTTGTAAAGCTTCCTCTCATTCTGAATGGTTTGCATTTTACGTTATCTTGGATGAGATTTAGCAGCTTTACTGATCAAAATTTGATCCACATATATGACATTTGTAACAACAAGAATCTTCATTTGAATCACTTTCCTGATATGAACAACTTCCAACTCTATAATGCTAGTAAGTACACAGTGGACAAAGTTACCAGTTGTGAAGAATGCCAACAGCTTCTCCTATCCGTATAGAAAGAATGAGGCGGCACCATCCTTTAGATGGATTTCCACCTTCGATAACAGAGGTTGGATTGAAATCCGCTGCTTCGCACAAATCCTATATAAGAGACAGCATAATGTCAAAAGCGCACTAATTCTCTCCGTCACAACACACCTACTTCTGCTGCTTTACAAGCTAAGTGCAGTATTGATTTGATTGTCATCTCTTACGTTGCAAAGGTCAAATGCTTAAATTGTGAACATAAACTGCGATGTAAAATGGGACAATGTCTAGGGGACAAGAGAAGACAAAGTTCCAGTCCTTAATATTTTGACGTCATTGTCGATTTAATGTCACAACCTACTCCTTCCTTGACTTTCGATGGTAGACAAAATGAGCGAGGCCTCAACGTGGTAGACGAAACAAAAGAAAGAGATTAAAATGTGGTATAAGAACTGCCCTTTCATATAGCTGTTTCAACGGAATGAAAGAACCCCTGATAATGGTGTTATAGTTTTTCCCTTCTTCTCTTGTAGCATTAGTGCTGATAATTTTTAACCGTCCAGTTAAGAAGACGGAACTAATTTGTATAAAACTTATCAAAAATACCTTCATAGAGCGAGCATTAACTAGATGCAATCTTGAAACCTAGAGACTTCGTGCACATGTAATTATACCTTTATGATATCATCCGGAAACACTGCGGCATCGATGTTTTCTGCAGCCCCGAGCAAGCCCAAAGATAGCCAGTTCAACCATCCTCGTTGTTGACTGAGAGGTCGCTGAGATAACGGCATAGATGCTTGTGGTTCATCACCTTCTCTTTCGTCGATTTTTCCATTGCTGGCTTCAGGCTCACTTGCTGCATTCTCAAAGACATCCTGGCCAAATCCCTATCAGAATGTGGTAGTCATGCCAACAAAAAGTTTGTTTTCAATGTTTGTTCTAGCTGTTTTGCGGTTATAATTAAATAGCAGTTACATATTTCATGAGAGAAGAATCGCAAAGAATTGTACACACGTGGATCAATTCGTACAATTCGGAAATTTAGACCTATCAAACTCAAAACGTAATGCCGCAGCCAAGGAAACCTTTGCTATAAAACATAAAACAGATAATAAAAAGAGCTTATGCAAAATTACTCACCGACCCCAACAGCTGACTTTCAGCCAACGACCTAAAGAAGAGAATCTCATCCATCTCAAACTCAAGCTCCATTTCTTCCAGCTCCGCAAACCTAATATCACTTGCTGGCTATACGAACAGAATCCAAGTTTGAGCAAGATGAAACCTATCTCAAAAACACCATCTCTTAAATAGAATGGCATCAGACAAACACATATCATGCTTTCAGGTTGTAGACTTCTCAAAGTAGTAAACGAAATGCCAACTATAATTCAATCTTCGGTAAGACAAGGGACTCGAATTAGTGGTACAAGTAAGTACAAGAGGTCACTAATCACGGCCAGTAATAAAACATGTGAAAGCAGAACAGTTGCGTCATTCGGCAGACCTCAGCTCTTTGTAAGGCTTCAAGTTTTTCCTTGTAGAGAGATACATATCGCTTGCGCCGCTCCCTACATCACCACCGTGGCTATTGAGTATCAATGCAATATCAAATCTTGACGTACTAGACATATGGTTAAAATGAAGGGTACAATGAATGGGGCAGCTTACGTGCTTAAAAGACCGACATTTCCCATCAACCTACGCCGATGTCTGCGAAGATCTGAAAGTACACACTGGATAGCATAAAACCAAAGTCGTCGCTGCCAACCAGCATTCTCAGAGTATGGTCTGCTCATTAGAGGTCTGAACCTCGCATACCTGCAAGTTTATACTCCTTGTTTGTCACGATGTTTATCTAATATGAACTCAAAAACTAGATCAAGCGCTGTGTATGTGCAACTTCTAAACTCAAACATGACAGACAAAGAAAAGGCTACTAGAAACCCCACCTCATTATCAGTACTTTAAACTTTCCATGCTTTGTACATCAAGTGCAAACTTCCAAACCTTTGCCTTCATTCAACTCAACTGTCGAGCAGGTCTGGTCTCATCTTATACTACTCAGTTATTCCAAACAATCTATGCAGTTACTGGTCTTCCTTATGATTATCTTCTTTACCTCAATATGAAAAAGGAAAACAGTGTAACAGCTATGCACTCATGATCACATTACTGTATATTTTCCTTATGAACAATGACCCAGTGCCCTGGCTGCACCGTGCTAGAGACACAGGACCAAGTGTAAACGAACAAGAAAATAATTTCGATCGAAACACTTAGAAAACAAAGCTACAACGAAGAGTTTCAGGATCACCTCTCTCGCAACTGGGATATGGAAAGAACCTCCATGAGCATCAACATTTGTCGCAATTGATGGTCCGCTAGGGACACGGACTGTTGGTTACCAAGGAGACATTACATGTATTAGCGCCTCATTGAAGTCACTGACTCTATCCCGCACTATGACTGTAGATTTCTTTGCTTCCTCTATGTTTGCCAAATCCAATCGAATCAAAACAATATAGACAAACATACTTAGGAAGTTCCACTGACTGAGAAGTTGGCAGGAAAAGCATATCACTCAAAGCTAATCGACCTAACCAAGTATCTCTGTGCTTGCAATGGAGCTTCTTGCAAATCCAACTTCAATTCATGTCCACAAAGTCGTCGAAGAGATAACTGACCAGATCATCAACATCAACAGCAATAGAATAATGAGGACCACCTCCTTTGACTGTGGCATTCTTATCTACCTGCAAATTGACGTGATGCACAGTCAAACCACAAATTGGTGTGAAACTCCAACAAGGATCACCCTGCCCACGAAAAGTCGACAGAATACGAGGTGAAAGGACTCCTTCATATGACAAGTTATCTTGACATATGATAAAAATCTGGTGATAGATTAAACTCTACCAAGCGTTGTTATTTGGAGGTGTACAACATCTTTGGATGATCCAAATGTACGGACTTGATAGAATGCACAAAGCGAGATAGTCATCGAGAAATGTCACTGGTGGGATACATGATGCTGCCCAAATCGTACTGACTATGATTAACGTTTTGAAATCAGAAATAGAACATTTAGTTCTCTTGAGCTTTACCGTCAGCCTTAATCTCGCATTTGTGGGTCGTAAAAGGTAGACTCTCTCATCGTCTCCACCGGGTACACCTTGTACTTTGCTTCTGAGATCATCACCCATGCTCTTTTTGGTCGAAGGAAGATCTTGGCTCTTCTCTGTGTTCCAGTAAACAGCAAGCTCTTGTAATTCCACGAGTTTGTGCACCTGGCTATTGACACTTTTCCCTGTAGCTCCAGACATACTGGAAAAATTGTTCCAAACTCATACACGTCAGAATATTTACGAAAATCTTCAGTCATTTTCTTATGTCTGCAATGTGGTTACGAGACCTCGGTAACCAGATTTGACAAAGACGTTCTGGAGATCATTCATGTAGCACTTCCCCTTTTGGCTTCCGCCAAGAACAAAACTTCCTCGTATCATCAATCGAGCAATGTACATTGCCTATTTAACTGTGTTTGATTAAACTTGAACGATTTCATAAATGTAAACTAGAAAGGTAATCGATTTCAGGCACTTGGAATCAACCTTGGTAAGGTTGGATGGTCACGTCCATCTGTGGTTGTGATGGCTAGACTTAAAAGAGTGATGCCGAAAGAGAAAACTGCCTGTATGATATCAACAACTTATGAACGTAAGATGAAGTACAAGAAGAAAAGCGCGGGATTATTAGAAAGTCAGGGCATTGTGCATAATTAAAGAGAGCATATACAAACAGACTCACGTCAATATCGACCTGGACCAGGTGCTGGAATCATGTAAACTGGAGACAGTCATAATTTCTAAAGAAGGACGTGACTAAATATCAGAAAGCAAGGAAGAACTGAAATGTTTGTCTCAATAAAGTTAAATATACCTCCGGGTCAGTTGTCGCATCCACGTACTGAAAGTGAACCTTGCTCACCGTAACCTGCACATTGTCTATTATCTGCCAAAAAGAATCCTCAATTTTCAGCACGTGACTATTCCCGTGCAGTCTGGAGGAACATACTAAATGGCAAGATCATGAGAAAGCAAGACAACTGTTGCAGAATGTACCAAAAATATATAACATCAAAGAGGTAGAAACAAAAAAGCACTTCAAAAGGTAATTCAGAAGAAGTATTAATTTCAGTCATAGACGTCATAAATACTGATGACAAAGGAAAACATAACCAGGCATAAACTAACTGACGGATTTTGAACCTGACAAAAAAAGTTCAAAACCTCACTCTACCTTGGCTGAAAGGTAGGATAAAAAGGTCTCTCCAGACTTATCCTCTGCAAAAAAATGATGAACAGGATAGACTTGTGAGAACAGCAATAAAGTCTTATAAGCAAGTTGTCATAAACAGGAACTACTCAAGATGCACCTGAGCTTAAATACACTTGCAGGTCCTTGCTTTGATGATAAACCAAGGACGTGCAATTGCTCTTTCTAATACGATAAAAATTAGAAGAATAAAAACAAGCAAGAAGCAAAAGATGACAGACTATGTTGATTGACCACTCAATGGACCCAGATTCTCTAAATTTTGCCTCTTTTGCCAACAACCAAAAAAGCGTATGCTGAAAGTGGACTATGTATGAACTAAAATGAGATTACCAAATTAATTTTACAGCTCTCACTATTATTAACAAAATTCATAGATGCCTTGCTCGACCGCCTTCACGAGAAACACAACAAGCACCCGTGCTGCCGTCACGATTTCAGCAAGCATTAAGAAACAAAAGCCCAGGGTTTTCCTGATAGTGATATTAGAACACTAGCATAATGCAATTGTCTTTCAATGTCATACTTAATGTGATCAATCTAATGGCTTTTTCAGGCCATAGTTCTCACCTGAAACTCGTTGAGACAACTTGGAGATTTCTGCTGCAGCAAGGGCAGCTTTCTTCGCTGCCAATGCTCTCCTGTCTGACGCCTCTGCATCCCACTGCAGAAGATAACTTCAGGCATAGTAAGCTGGAGTACTCCACACTAAATTGCACAAGGAGAACTGACATATGATTTATGCGTTCCATACTTTACGCATATATAATTCTCTTCATAGCAAATGGTGCGTAAATATCCACTTACTTCCGACTCTTCGTGTGGACCAGCCAACAAGTTCACATCTTCTAAGGCAATCAGAATAGGCTCCCAACCAAGTTTCTGCCATGGGACTTGGAATCTCAGTTTCCCGACGGTGCCTGCTTGACAAGAATGTGTATGTTAGAAGTACTGTTCAGCTTACATGGATGTCAATAATTCATATTCTCTAACAGGTCCTTTTTGGGAATGCGATGGTAATTGATGTAGAAAAGCTTCAGCTAATATGCGGTCGTCATTGCGCGTGCCTTGTTTGATAGAAAATGGTAGTTGCAAGTAGTCAAAAGCCTCCAGCCTCAACTCCACATTCTCGAGTAAAGCCTGACCTGCATTTATGACACATTCAGCATACGAATCCAATACTCTTAGATTCAGCAATATCAAAGGCCTTCTGTAAAATTGACTTCAAAAGTCATGCGAAAGGTTTCCATCCAGCAACCATACGAGCAGAGCCAGCATGTTTTCTTGCACCAACGAGATTTTTAAAAAAAAAACATATATTCTAATGTAGTTTTAAATGCGAATTTAAGGAATCATTGCCCTTACCACTCCAGAGGCCAATACGAAACTGTTCACGCTGGATATCTTTCACGTACTGGCCTAAGTAACCTGCCAGAAGCTGATAAAGCACGCCTTCAAACATCCTTCGTGCTTACCACAAACCTCAATTGCCTTCCTTGCTAATGAGAAATAAGAAAAATGTTGTTCGGCAAGTATCTGTGGTAGAATGATACGAGAGCTCGAAGAGTCCCATAATTCTCTGGCTTCTACCTCATCAGCTACTCCAAACTTTTTCTCTTAACCTCTGTTAACTCTTCTCCAATTTGCTCATCCCACAAGACAGGGATCCTAGTGATACTCTGGTAGTGAGCTCAATTCTCCTGAAGTAATGTAAATTCAAATTCAGCTTGCCGCTACAAATATACCCTGATCTGACTCCACACAAACCCTCGAAAAAAAAGCCTCATATCTCCTGCGTCCTGGGTGCCCATTTTGCCAATTCATATGCGAAGTACTCTCGGTTTGGACCACGTGTAAAAGAGAACATTCGAAACCGGCCAGTCGTTTTAGCTCAAATTCCACCTGAGAACCTGAGAAAAAATTTTAAAAAACAAAGTTCTTCTTCCAAAATCAGGCCACTTGTCATGCAGATCCGCTTCACCCTTGGATGCGAATTCGAATGACCCCTCAGTCTATGTACAAAATCAGATCGATGCCGCAATGATGTCTTCGATGAAGTAAAGCTTCCACAATTCCTGCTTTCCTCCTTCGATGATCTTCAAAAGAATCTGTAGGAATACAGGAAAATGTGTTGCCGGAACAGAGAAATTTCAACATTCAACCTCGGAAATAAATCTCAATGTACATCCCAAGATCCGGGCACAATGGCGAGGTGCCGAATAATTTCCTACGCAGCAACAAAGATTTCTGTAAGTACGGCCTCTACTGAGTGAAAAATGAGGAAACTGGTCGAAACTCTGTCCTTTTCACTGAATCTCCAGAGTGTCCAAAAAATAGTAGGTGGTCGAATTTCATCGTTTCAAGATCTCAGCCAGTTAACCCAGAGCTAACTTTTCGAAGTGCATCTGCATTTTACCATTTATCACACAGGCATTCAGCCTCTCCTCCATTCCGTGGAGACGTGGAACTGAAGAGGCGATTGCTTGCTTTTCCTGCTTTCGAGCGACTATTGCCCTTCTTCGAACGGCAAGCTGCTATCGACAGAGACGGCAATAATCTCCATCCACGAGTTTGTCGCCCTGTTTCGATTATCCTCAAATGCCATTCACAGAGTCGCGTGTTCACTAATTGACTTCCATAATTTGCTGTTAGTTTCCCCGCTGTTCGGTATTGTCGATTTGGAGATATTAGTGTGGATGGACCCCGTCACACCTGAGTCCAATCTGCAAAACTGTGGCTTGAACTTCCCAAAAATTCTGAGATGGTATGGTGGACAATTCCTATGTACATTTTACTCAGTTGAGCATGCTGTGAATTGATCCTTGTTACATATCCGTCTTCATATATCTCTGCTTATCAAATTCTCGTTTAAATATATCATCAGTTGATTTTCTGATGTACATGATTTAATTCTTATTAAATTTCTTGTTTTCAAAATTGCATTCTAGCTTTGAAACACAAATCTGAAACAGTTTTGTATTCTTGAATGCTGTGTTTATAACATTGTCGAGGAAGTACATAGTATTTGTCTAATCTACCAAAAACACACCAATTCCTAATGGTAAAGTTAAATTCCTCAGTGGCCATTTACTCATATATTTACTTCGCTATAAATTTGCATTGTTTACTTCAAGTATGAGTTTTCTACCGTCTATCATGACGTAAAGAATTCCAAAAAAAAATGATGCTCAAATTAGTTTTGAGAGAATGATAATCTCACGCTAAGGATGCCTACCAATTTGTGATAAACTGCCCTCTAATTTACAGTTATCTTCAAATATACAATCAACAAGACATGAAGAATGTTTCAATTTACTTCAACTTAAGATATTCATAAAATATCATAGAAACAACAACGTACATTTTTTTTATTGGATCAAATGAATTGATCATATCATACTTTTAGCAACAAATATTGCATATCATATCTGAGAGGTCAACCGATTTATATTTTTTTATCATTCATCATTTAAAATTTGTAACTCTTATATTCTCATATACCCTAAACTTATCACCAAAACTTCACAAAAAAAAAGCAATGACATAAATTTGTACTTTTCAAAGCACTTTTACAAGGTTTCTATGACAAAGTCATGAGTAATTTTCATGTGCATTCATAGCTTGTTTGTATGATTATAAACGAATATGCTCAGAATACTTTTCAAGTGAAATTGTTGATGAGAATCAAATTGCTTTATGATGTTTTGTATTGATTAATAGTATTTGAAGATATAAATAGATTAAGACATATCTTACTAAACATTACGGATGTTTTGATTGTTTGCAAGTACTTGTTAATATGAATTTTATTTGCATCATTGCTTTCTTCATTAAAATCATTCAAATATTTTCAAAGAGATATTAGATTGTATGAATTAGCATACTCATATTGATGATAATTCATATTACAAATGTTTGGTTTAATATTTATATTAAAATTTAAGATTTTTATTTATTGTTATTTAAGTTTTAAAATTTTGAAAATGATGTTTACTTAAATAATAATTTGTATCAAATTTTATGTCAAAATAAAATGTTCAAATCAAATTGCTAAACAAAAAATAACATCTGATAGGTTAGAATTTATTTGTATGTTGTAAAATTGAAAAAAAACAATCAATTCATATTATTTATGGTGATCATATTAAGTGTAAATTTTAATATATAATAAATGGACATTCAAATACATATGATAATTAATGATACGTCATTATTATAATACACATTAAAGTGAAAATGACAATATAAATCAGTGTAAATTCAAAATTTAGTGCAAAAGTGTCAAGATAAAACAATACTGAATTCTCTATTATTGATTGATTTAAAATCTAAATACTGGAATTTTTTTTTAAAAAAATAATTTCTATGATGAATCTTGATACATTAACAGATTTTTTTCAACATAATGTGCTCAATATATTTCATAATTTTACATGCATCAATCAATAAAAAAACTATTCATGCAATTTGAAGAAAAATTTTCATTTAAAAGTCGACATGAAAAATATTAATGATTTGAAGCAACATTTCAAAATAAAAATGATTGTTTTTTGACTTTGACGAAAAAATTAGCTCAAAGTTAAAAGTTAAATTTCTTGATAAGCAAAAAATTGAATTTTTTTTGATAATAATTTATGATTTCAAGTATTGAAGAAGGTAAGATTTAATCTTAAAATGTAATTCTTGATTTTAAAATCGTTTATTTACTGACAAAGCTTTAAAATTTGAGTCTACAATTATGATACATGTGAATAATTTTTTTTTTTAATAAAAATTAAAAATTATCAAATTTTTCTATTTTTATCTATAAATAATATATATCTTCAAATATATAATATGATGAAAAATTATAATCATATTTTTATAATATAGTATATCATATGATGCAATTATGTAATTATAACTATAAATTTTATTACTTTCTTTTATCTACGAGTTTTGTTATAAAATAAATATTTCTTTAATGAATTCGTTTTTAATATTTTAGAAATGTAATATAAGTTTTCTTATATATATATATATATATATATATATATAAAATATGTGGAGCTTTTTTACACTATATTATCTTTTTGCGGATGCAAAATAATTATTTTCATTTCTTTAATTTGGGGCTCAACTTGGACTTGTATTTTCTATTTGCTTCTTCATACGAGATGATAATCATGAATCGCATATCGAAAATGTGAAATTTTCATCAATTTATCATACTAATGTTTTTATTACAAGTTATTTAGCAAGTTAAAAAGTGAATAAAGTTTTTAAAACTTTTAAAATATAATATAACAAACTTCAATGCTACACAATGAAGAAGAATCATAGCAAAGTCTTCAACTTAGGTCTATCGTTTGTATCATACATGTGTTTTCTAATAAAAATAGAGAAATCAATTCTTTCAACTTATCAAAGAAAAAAATAAACAAAATGTAAAAATTGTTTCTGAAGAGTTGCAATTTTTTCGTTATTTGGTTACAAATCCAACAAAGTATTTATATCCAACATATTGAAATTAATTACTGCAAGATTGGTTGTATCAATTGACTTTTTAATACAGTTTAAGCTGAAAACATTTGAATATAAAATAACACATTTGAATTTCGACTTATTCTAAAAATAATTTGAAGTAGTTACATCTTTCACAGAGTGAAGAGTTTTATTGAATTTGGATTGAAGTTATATTCAGATGTTGCTGTAGGAATGTTTAAGAGCAATGACAAAACGCATGGTATTGACAGTACAAGTTTGTGTAGCTACTATTTGCCAAAATCTTGAATTACGTTAATAGGTGTTTCTCGAACACGCAGAAACACATACATAGAATACTAAAATTAAATATTTTAGTGCCAGGTCAAGTAAGGTTTTGGCTTGACGAAATATAGCGTGAGGACAACCACTCGTGGCCATGATTAACACTTGTGGTATTGAACCTCAAACAATTTAATCTGGCTAAGTTATTTGGAGTTCCAAATTCTCTCCCGATTGCGGATTCCAAATTAATGTTTAGATCACACCAAACAGTTTCAGGACAGCCATGTTCCTCTTGTTTTAATTATATTTTACTTAAAGTCCATGGATCTTGACAGTTTGGTCGTGAGGTCCTTGGACAGATAGCAAAAATGATAACATAGTGAATATTTGATCGTTTTGGATGTAGAGGAAAATATACATTGATAAAGAATATGAAGTACAGAGCACACTTGGAGAATATATTTAATTAGTCAATCAGATTGTACTTTCAAACGTTCACGTTTTGTGTACCATTATCTCAGTACTCACGGAAAACACCAACAACTTTGAAAAACATTTATGGTACTAACGTCGTGAACTTATATCTGATCGAATATGGATCACATACTACATAACGATTTATTGATCGCAACGGACAAATCTTTGTCAAGTGATAAAGGTTTAGTTGGATGGAACACAGAGACATCGTCTGGGATAAAATAAATTTTTTGGTTATAAATTGTGTTGATAAGTATTAGTCAGACTGTATGACCATACACCTGCAAAATCTTGGTTTCTTAGGTATACGATATGGTGGAAAAATTCTATGATAAACACCGTAGAGGTGATAAGGATTTGGAGACCGACTAGAATATATTTACCATAACAAATTAAGCCAAACTTAGGCTTATTACAAAATTAGACTTTTTCACTTGCACCTCTTCCCTCCCAACCGAACCCCACTTCTTGACCATGACAACATCAAGTAAGGATCAGAATGTTCACCATACACGTGTCTCTAGAATGACCAGAGTTTTTCCTGAAGTACAATTGGGTTAGTTGAGCCCTATGAATAATTCTGGGACGTGATGAATCATTTCATCGAACTGCCCGCCATTTTCCCATGCGAATATGACGTACTTCTAAATCGAGGGAAGGGAAGGGGCCTAATGAGGCAGCCACAGCTGAGGATCGTATCCACTCAGTTTGACCAAAATTCAAACGCGATGATCTGCTGACTTTCCGTGGGCCTGAATATTGCCGGAGTTTTGAAAAGTTACGTTGAAAGATGGCGAGTAATTTTTATCATGAGCCGCACTCAAATGTACAATCGTGGATGTAACGTAACCTGTACAGTCATGGATGCGCGTAATATAATTTACAGCACTGAATATTATGTGGCTCATCATTTGCTCTATACTGACCACCATCATTTTACGCATATTATTTAAGAAAAAATCTTGAACACCGAAAGAAGCGCTTAGGATCTGCAAGGACGGCGTAATCACGGACGGACGGTAAGCGAGCCCGAGAAGTGAGCCGGACGGACCTGGGACGCAAGGACGGGAGAGCGGTGACTGCAGCTGCTCGCGCAGGGAGAGGTTCGATCTACAGGTAAATTGCACGACGGCTATGGCGATTGACCGCGTTCGAGGAAGAATTCACGTTGTTTGGAGGCTCCAATTGGACTAGGGACATGAGTCTTCGCAGCAGGCGAGCGATCGGGGCCAAATTGCGGTAGTTTGGATGGATTTGGGCTTCGATTAGAAGGGTCGTAGGGTGGAGTGTGAGGTCGATCGCTGTTGACATGATTAGACACCCCTTTATGACTTCATCAAACTTTCGTTCCCAGATATGGCTGTCTTCGAGTCAAATGCGTCATTGCCTGGTGAGTATTTGGCCTATTTTTTTTTTCAGCGATGATCAGTTTTGTTGCTGGCTCTGGCATGACGTGAAAATGTTAATTTCCAGTGAAACCTGTCTATCGGTTGCGATTGTGAGGTGACTTTTGAGTTTGTCGTCAGACCTGCTGAAAACTTCTCAATGTTAGGTCTTCAATGTCGTGACCATCGCAGTGTACATACTCTCCTTTAATGCTGTTGGTATCCTGCCGGTCGCAGTCGTCCTTTTTCTTGTGTGTTCTCTTCGAACTTTGCGATTCGGTCGACGTGCTCATACTTGCGGATTCAGTAGAGGCCTCCATTCATATTTTCGCTTTCTCTCTGTTGGAGGTCCTCGTCTAGCAGCGTTTGTCTGTTCAAATTTCTACTGTATGTCGCTTGAATTTACCTTGACTTCAGCACTTCATTTTCGGTCACAATGCGTGGTACAGTTTTACGCAACGAAACCTATTGTGCCTGCATTGCTTACAGAACTGCCTTATGGGATGATAGCTTTAAGATTGAAATTCTTTGACCTGCAGAACGTGTAGAAATCGCTAGACTAAGACTGCTTCTGGTAGCTGTTTTTTCACCGACTTTCAATTCACCTTGTCTGAGATTGGATCAAATGTGGAGTACTAGAGGAATTTGCATAACTCTGATGTTTCCCTATGTTGTATGACATCGATACAAGCAGAAAACAAGCCCACTAGGCAATGGGATGCATGGACACGTGAAGAGGAAGAAAATTTCTTTGGGGCATTACGGCAAGTGGGCAAGGTAAAGTTCAGAAAACGCTTTGCGAGGCATAAAATGTCAAACTTCAAGTAGTGTGTTGGCTTACTACGGAAGATCTTATCTGGGATCTGTTTTAGTCTTGCATTATTTTACCACTAAGCCCGCAAGCTTACAGCTTCCTAGAATATCTTGCTATAGAGTTTTGCTTCGATACGGAGGATTGAGTTAGGGCATTTTCTTAAACTGACGAGTGCATGAGCAGGAAAGTCTCACGATTTACCAGTTTACTTCCTGCTCAATAGTTTCAAGTCAAAAGTTTTCTATGTCCGCGAGTGTTGTAATTTTTTCGTCGGGTTTTATATATTGACTGTCTACCGAGACGTTTCTTTGGCTAGGATATTATACTTTCTCATTGCCAAGCTGAATGTGTTGGATGACTTTCAAGTGGGTGTGTTTGTTTTTTAAACCTGAAATAGAAGTCTGGATTAGCATTTATCATGCAGTGGTACAGGGATGAATACTATTTGCTCTTAAACTCATACAATCTGATGTGCAGAACTTCGAGAAAATCACCAGCCGAGTACAAACAAAGAACAAAGATCAGGTGTGGGTTTGATCCCCTTCGTATCCGCATGAATTTGCATCGACACATTATGTTTCTCTGCACGATGCACATTACTTGCACTCACATTGAAGAGTTCCCCCTTGTTGTTGTTTCAATTGCAAAGTTGTCAACGAAGTTGGGAGAGAATAAAATGAGTCGTCAAGTTCATCTAGGTTTCTTGTGAATAAAAGGTTCAAATCATCTGATCGAAAAGATTACAAACTGCTTGGAGGACTGCAAATGGTTTAGCGTGAGGAACTTATTTCGCGATTACGAGTTTATCATAACAACGGATGGTCCAATAGCAGGTTGTCGGGTAGGTCTTGGTGAACTGTAGGTTCCAGTCTTCGTGATTTTTGAAAGTCGGAGAGAAAGGTTTTTGCTCGATTGATGCACTGTACCTTCTTCTTGAAACCTTCTGTGTCTGAGTCTATCAAAGATGCTTAACAAGTTAAGTTTGACCCAGGTGCTGTGGACTCCACTGCCTGTCCGTCAACCAGACCAACATAAGGCACCAGACTTGGTATTGTGTATTGAGGATTAGTTTTTCATGCCACTACAAAGGATATTATATCATTAGATATCACTTCTACAGTTGCTATGAACCTGAATTTGTAAATCGAAGTACGTAATGTTGACGCCCTTGAATAATATCGAGTTTATATTCAGTTCCATGTTTTTATGACCCATGACGAATATAGTTAAGACGTACTGGAGAGAAATTTTATGATTTGATACAATTCATCACTAACGTCTTGCTTTTAAAGCTCAATATTAAGCCTGAGATTTTGTGCCCGTGTCTTGGAATTCTGAAATCATGTCTTGTAGACAACACATATTTCACTACGATCGCTGCTGTAGCGTGTTGTCTACTTTTGCAAGTATCAGTGCCGCAATTTTGTTGGAACTGTACATCCCCTTTTAATCTCATGGCCTTTTGCTGTAGGTTCGTCATTACTACTATCGCGTCATTAAACGAATGAACAAAATTCTGTCTCCAAGCTTGGTATTAGATGCCAAGAACTCCAGCTATGTGAATAGTGCGATGCTAAGATGGTAAGTGTACCGTCTCTTGCACTTTTCGTTTGTTGTGTGGTTAACTACTTTGACTGAGCAGAACCAGGAACAGGTGGCTTGTGATGTTAGGAATGAGATTTGCGTGTTTAAAAGAATCAGTAGACCTCCGTTTATTCTTCCTCCATCTTCTCCACTTTCGCTCGGTTAATGGCCAACCATTTACTGGTTTGAAAGTTAGCTACCTTATATGTACAGACTATCATTCTCCAGTTCAATGCTTCGTTAAGCAGCAGTGGAGTTAAGAAGGTTATTTGTGCTGTAAAGTCCGTTGTTGTTACTCATTTCGCTGTTTGTCATTGACAGGTGGTCGTTGCTGGAAAAGCATAGTTGCTCAGCTTCTAAACTGCGGTTGAAGCCCAGACGCTTTAAAACATTTGTCACCGCTCTGGTCGGTCTCTTCACTCTACTGTCATACTCCTCCATTTCTTTAAGCTAATGACTTAATATTCTGGTCCCTTTGCCCTCATGGATTCGTTATCTTACTACAGTAACCTTTCCTCTTGGCCTGCGAACTGGTTACTTCCCAGTTTAACTTGCCTTCGAGTGTTTGGTTAGTGCTGAGAGCATGCTCAATATGCGAGGTGAACCTAATGTCACATGTCTCCCTTGGACCACCTGGACCAAGGTAGGCCTGACTAGTATTTCTGCTTATTGGTGTTATCATATGGTGTGATTTTGTTGGTCTTGCTTCTCTCTTTATATCAGGAGCACCAACTTTTGAAAGATAGAAAGAAGCCGAAGAAGAAATCCCCACCATCAGCCTCCTCGAAGAAGCCCACATTACCAACTGAAGCATCTGATGGGATATCGATCGAGTCTGGGGAATGTACTACGAGCGGAGTAGCTTCAAGTAAGGCATCTCTGGAAGAACTCCAAAGCTCCCAATCCGTTGTAGCAAGCCGAAGAACTGCCGTGAAACGTAAAGCCACCAACAATGCATCTAAAAAATCGAGTACGAGGAGCGAAGCAAAGCGTCCTCCTAGGCCTCGTAAAAAACCTTCTGGTATGTGATGCTTAACGAATGTTCACATTTATCTTCTTTTCTTAAGAGAATATCCTACATAAGCTATTGGGGTTTGGAAACAAATGAAACAGTAAATTTACGTTGTGCACATTTGATATGGTTGGTCTGTTGTGTCGGCGTCGTTACATCTTTCTTCACTCGTGATTATTGCATCGCGTCTGGGTCGCCTGCGTTCAAGGTTCATAGGTCCACTTTGGATTCGTATATGTTTTTTTGCAGAAACAAGCACCTCTTATCAGTATATAACATTTGATTATTGAGGACCTTGTGTGCAGTCTTTATGACAAATGTGTATAAGATGGGAATCTCATGTTATTCTGGCAGATGGTAAACGCTCAAAGGCTGCTAACGCTGAGTTGGAGAAAGAAGGAAATCTAGGGGTTGCAAATGCAGTGCCGGAGTTGCTAGAGCGGGATGCTGGAGCTGAGGGCATTTTACCTGATTCTGACTCATCTAATACAAACTGCAAAAGTCATCCAAGAGGTAATGATGTGATTGTGGATCCTCGAACAGGTCAAATTTCTTCAGCAACATCTGCAGCGTTTTCAAAGTTGGTATTACTGGACAAGCTTCCCAGCGATCATCCTTGTTTACGAGGGAGACCTCGGCTTGTGAATGTAGTAGCGTTGGCAGGACCAAGTGGTGCAACATCTGCGACACCTCCGCCATCGTCAAATGCAAAGGATACTTGGCCTCCTTTGGAGATTATTCCAGACTTGAGCTTCGAAGCCCAGAAGTCGCTGGCGTTGCTTGGTACAAGATGCAACAACTGCAGCAGCTTGAGATGTACTGTTGGAGAGGAGATGAAGAGTGACAGTACAGATGCAAAAGTGAAGCTGCAATTGTTCCCATTTGATGATAATATCCGGAAGGCATTAGAGCAGGTACATGTTTCAGCTTTGTCATCAGATTGCCGAGTCGTTCACATGTGCATGGGTTTACTTGAAGGTAGTCTTCATCTTAGATTTCCTATGGCTGGGCGGAAACCTGATTCGATTTGATGATTTATCCTATCTTAGATCCGTTCGATTCCTTTTTCGTTTCTCTCTAGCTTGCTGTTAGCATGTGCACCATCCTGATTCATTTTACGATCGATCTTTGTCTCTAGCACCGTCCTGCTATTGTGAGTTGACTTGGTCGAACGGCTACAACATGAGGAGTCAGATAGAGAACTCAGTTAAAAGCCTAAAAGCCTATACTGGATTGAAAAACTTACTGTTTACCCTCGGACCTTGTTTTAAGATTGTAGGTTCGATCTTCCACTTTTCATCGTTGTGTTTAGCTTCTGTAATATGTTGTGACTTTTGAGTCTTGTTTGTACAGGATGGTCTCAATCCACATCTAGAGTTGACTTTGAAAGCTCGGAAGAGTATATCTTCAGTTTTAAACCATCTGACTCAAAAGTGGGGACGGTCTTCAATCGCTTCTGGGGAGCTACGCCTTTTTCCTTTCAACACTCAATGGTCCAGTTTAGCTTCACGGAAGAGCTGGAGTTATCTTGATTCCAATGTGAGTGCAGCCGAGGTTCATGCCACGCTTGGGAATCCAGCAGTCTTCCGACTCAGGTGAGAACCTCTGATCATATCCTTGGGGGATTCGTGAGGAGTGCTGGACTGGACCTTGAATAGAGTGGCTTATAGGAAAGGTCAACTTTTGTGCACTGCTGTCGAAAAGTAGGGGACCTGATACAATGTAATATCATACGTTGGAATCTCCTGGCCTTATGGCGGCTTAATATCATGTATGGCGTATGGAAGGGAGTTTTTCTTGCGGTCAATTATAATCAGGCGGGTACAAGAAACATAATTCAAGATTGCACGCACGGCCAAGGCGGTGCGATTACAAATGGGATATCTGGGAACAATGACCATCTTAGCGCTGCAAAAAGCATTTGCTCGATTTGGGATAATATTGCGTAATTCGCGCAGTCTAGAGGCATGATTGTTGAAAAACTTTACCCAATATAGAATAATGTGTTCTGTTTGAGGCATCTGCTTTGACGAATATGCCGAAGTCAAGGAAGTTGCCTTACTTCGAAGTACTGTGTGTTATGTTGATTATATGCATGTATTATATCTCTGTGTGAATCACTGAGAAGAGATGCACGTTTGCCCAGATATGCCTGGATCCCAAGCCGTGTGCTTGAGTCGTCTCCTGCAGTTCTTCAGCAAGTCACGGACACGTGTACCGATGTGCTTTGTCCGGTGAAAGTGCTACCTGTTGGAGGTTCTTGTTCTGAGTTCTCAAAATCCGTTCCGGTCTCAGCTGCCACAATTGAAGCCATAGCTCAACTTCCACCTCGGCTTCCTTCAAAGTTTGGTAGCACAATTGGAGAGGACTGTTTGTCCGCTAGGACGGAGATACCCTCCATAGCTCCGGCCTACGCACCAAGCAATGTGAACTCTTCAGACACGTCTGCTATCCCCGTGCTTACTTCTTCAAAATCTCAAGGTGTTGAGGCCGAAGACGATGCTGAGCTGAAGGAGTGTGCCTCCTTTGAGGCTGTGGAGGGAAATTCTGAAATTGGGCGCCGATCAAGTGTTACAAGCGTGTCACCCGTCATTCATGGTGAAGCAGAAGTCATAGTGAAGGCTGCCTCTAAACTTCAAGATGGTGCAGCTCAGCTTTCAGGTTGTGGTTGGATGTATGAAAGCACCGATGGATTTGCCCAGCAGCTCTGGACTCTGGAGGTTTGTTCTTGTCTTCCATGTAATCAATTGTCTTATGTTTCAGCCCTATACTTAGCTTATTGGTTCTCAAGTTTCTAAAGTGGTACATGATGGGATTAGTATTCAAAACCCAGACCGGTCAAGCCTGGTACGACTAACATGGCAGAATTTCTTCCTCTACGTTTTTACCACGTTTCATCTGCTTTGACTCTTATTGTCTATTTCTTTATGGACGTAAAGACCCCGTGTCAAACCTTCCAGTTGCCTTTGATTGTAATTTCCCACTCTTTAAATCACTTTTACTGTCTAAGCTTTTCCATGTTAATGAAAGCATCACTTTTCCATTCTTCCCAGCCTATTTCAAGGATGCCTAACTGCTATTTACCTTTTTCTTTAAACAGCAAGCTGTCGGTAACTTGCTGAACTCAATTGCTGAGCAGCTGGTTGGTTACAACATGGTCCTGGCAAATTAAGCGTTCACATCATTGAATGTTACCCTATTTGGTTGCGGCCTCTCATGTGCTGTTTGTACGCCTCTTCCTGGACATGCCATCCTCGTATTACTTGCAGGATTCATTGCGCAGCAACCATGGAGTTTCGATGGCTCAAATGGATTGGGTAGATAGCCTGACAAACATCAGCGTGAGTGAGTTACTGGGAGACGGAGTATCTCGTCACGACTTCCCAGGATGTGCACAACAAAACGGTGTCGACCAGCCGCATTTAACCTCTCAAATGGATTCTTTTGATATATCACTGTCTGTTCAACAGTCACATATGGAGCAGCCTTCAATAGCAATCTGGGGCGGTGAGGAAACTTGTGACGCTTTTTCATTTCAAAAAGCTATGGTTTCTGATCAAAGCATCAAGCAAACTGTCAACCCTTTGAACCATGAAACGTCTTTGAGCTCCCTTGGGCTGGATATGACCTTTCGAAATATAGCTCCATTATGTTGGAGAGAGGTGAGCTCTTCACCCTACAGCATTACATGTCCATGTATACACGAAGAGTCTTTCTGTACATTTTCAATGCTTATGTTTTTGTTTCTCTTCAGTTAAGTTTAGTAGTGTACCAGTTTTGGCAGAAATAACCATCGAACCGGATATGAACTTATGGATCCTACTGCAAACGTGTCGAGATGTATAGGTTATCAAAAAGATTTTCATTTACATTCTCATTGCTTGTTTTGTCAAGATTGCTCTTTGTGGATGCATCATATCTACCTGTGGTTTGTAGTTGGTGTATATTTGAGTTTTGATATATTTGGTCTTGCTGGATAACATGTTGATCACATATGAAGGAAAAGCTATATTAATGCCCGAAGTTTTTATCTGCAGCAACTTCAAAGCTCTCAAAATCAGGATCTTCTGTTCGGTGGAGAAGCATCCATTGGACTGAGTGGTCTTATCGAAGCACTTGCCGGCAATGGAAGCTTGGATGGATTTCAAACCGAGCCCTTTAGTCAGCTTTCCGACGAACTCAATGTTGACACAAGAGTCAAACAAGAATTCGAAGTTATGGGTAAAACCAAAGAAGGAAACGATGAAGCTTGGGACGTGGCTCCCAAAAGTCTGAGGGTGCAGGTATCACCATCGATTGGCAATGTTGTTGACGATTCTACTTCTCTAGTAGATAACTTTGCTGATATCAGGAGTGACCTGTTGGAAGGGGCCAAGAATGACGAGGGTCAAGAAAACACCGAGTTCTTTGTTGGAACAAAGAGTAGTCCGATTGTTTCTGTTCAAGATGGAGATTCTGATGTACCTACCAGGTCAGCCAGCTGTCGGCCTCAAAGGCAGAAAGACAGACGTCAAGCTTCGGGATCACCTCCAAGACCCTTCAAATTGAATGCTCGTTATACGAATATGCGTTCTCTCAAGCTTCAGACTTAACGTGAGATGCGTACTGAAGTGTCAAGGTATTCTTGAATCGGACAATCCATTTCCAACAAAAGCAGCTCAAAGTATCCTCCTTCAGCGAATAATTGTAACGAGCACGTGGAGGACACGGACTGGCAGGTTTTGTCTTCTACCCTGAGTTTCTTTTATTTCTGGAGGAGCACAGAGCAAGAAGATGCTTTGCTTTTTATGTGAAGCATGAACAAGCTCGGCATGCCGTGTACGGCTCTTTCAAGCACCAAGCAAAAAGCTAGCAGTATGGCCCGTCACAAGCGCAGAGCTGCTGGAACATTTTGTCCAGCGTCTTGGATGCAGGTGAATTACGAAGAGCTGCCCGAGTTTGTTGATTATAATGAAACTCGTCGCTCCTTCACAAGCTGGGAATTGACAAAAGATACCAATATTGAATCGGGAGCGAACAATTACATTTCTTTCATATCTTGGCGTATGAATCCATCAAAAGGTGGAACGCGATCGCGGCCATGGAGATATAATGAGCCGCCAATCTTCCGCCCGGCTACAACATACATGTTCACGTACCTCTGCGTGAGGCTTGAACAAACTGGACTTGGGGCATTCATGATGCCTTCTTGTATCTATTTCCTAAGCCTAAGCTCACGATCAGGAATGTGGTTGGCGCATGTTCGCTACCGAGTAAACATCTTGTTCTTGAGTAGGCATTTGTAACATATATTGTCCAGTACAGAAGAGAACTTGCTAAAGACAGAGCTGAAGCAATCACTAACATACAACTGTTGACGATCAACCTGGGCGATACTGATGTGTTTTGGTACATAAACATGTAAAAATTAGATGTAGTTGCAGGCAATGCTTTTGATTGGCGTATTCAGCATCAACCCTGAAGACAATCTGGCTTTCATTGCAAAGTTGTGTACCATCATTGTCAGCAGGTCCTGACGCTGTCTTGGTTCGGTTTCTTCTTGGATCTCGTACAAATTAGTATAATTGATCATACATCATTTAATACTGGACTGAGTGCAGGTTATTGTGCGACTAAATCATGACTCAGAACCGGTAGAGTAGAATAGCTTCACGTTAGGTACACAAAGTCGGCATGGCCGCTGACATAGAGATAGGAAAAAGAAGCTTGTTTAGAACTCTCACTCTTCTCAAGTGGAGTTCAAACTGGATTGATTATAACGGGTTACGTGATTGTATCGGATATATCGGTCAGATCTTTTCTGTGGTCGATATGTTCGCCTACTTTTGTCGCCGGCGATATCTGGACATGATCTTGTGTCACCATGACGGGAGTATTTTCCTCTTGAACCCCGTGTGTACCAAGCGTTGAGTGAGTGATTGTGGCTTAGGTGTTCAAATGATTTTCTGGTTATATCCCGCAACCACGTAATTTGAACGTGGTGGCTTGCAATTTAAGTGTAAAGTACACGTTTCCAGATGCATCAGTCATGCCGATTAGGATGTTGTCTGTTGTGGAGAAAACTCTCTGATCTCATGTCTGTTTAATCCTAATGTTTCTGACACAGAGGACCTCTTACGAAATGTCAACCAGCTTTTTCAACTTGGATACCTGTCAGCGGTACTCATTGCATGCAGCGAGTTGTACTTATCACGAAACTAAAAGGTAGAGGTGAGTTTACAGAATGGGCAGGGAGAACGGTTCCTTATTAGGTCCTCAGTGTTTTATGCTTGTTTTGGCTTTCTTCGTCCTTGGGCTACCAATAGCGATGGTAAGGCTCGCCAAGCTAATCAAGGGCACGGTTTGTACCCTGCATGCACATTGACTTGTTTACTTCACTGCGTCAAACTTGTAGATCTAACGCGTCTGTCACTGCAGTCGAATGGTCCCAGGTGGAATACAGTCGACTCTCGAGGAGGCCAAGGCCTCGGGTCACTGCAGAGCATGTACTTTTCCTCCTTGAAGGCTTGATGGGGACCTTAGAAAGTACTCTGTTTTTGTTTGTTATTTGGCCATTACTTTCTTTGAGCATGTACTTCTGAGGTATTTTAGAAATGAGGGAAATCATTTCAGACTGCACTTCTTGAGTCATTTCAATGATGGAGATTGTTAAGACCTTCTTTGCTAAAAAGGTGACTTGACCAACTCTACAAGCACACTGCTTTGTACGTGGAAGACTTAAGTTGGCTCACAATGTGCAGAAAATAAACCCTGATTGTACGGTGTTCCATCTAATTGGAACAGTCTCAAACCTTACGACAAATGTTCGTGGTTGAAGATATAACATATTCGAAGGATACCTGATTCAATTGAATCAGGTATACCCAGGCATGGTTATGATAGTCATTAGCCTAAATTACCTAAATACGCTTAATTTGGTCTCCACTAGAAAATTAATGTAGGCGCTTTGGTGCAAAAGGTTGCGTTAAATGCATTTGAGAGCTAGTGAGGGGTTCGGAGGTAGAGAAGAGAGAGTCACCATCACGCGGGCTTGCAGTCGACCTGTGAGTAATGCGGACAAGAGAATTAAATTTACAAACTTGGGATTGCAAGAGAATTAAATTTACAAACTCGATTGCAATTCGATGAACTACGAGAATGTCGCGGTAACACGCAAATTCAAAGATGAAATCCTTCATGTTCCAATTCTTAGCCAGTCACGGTTGATTTCGGCGCTACAGTGAGTACCACTTTAGGTAATTCAGTGGCCTAGATATATCATCTCGGACTAGATGCTATGGTTAATTTAGGCACTAGAGTGAACATCACTTTAGGTAATTCAGCCGCCTAAATTAACCATGACGGTTAATTTAGGCACTAGAGTGAACACCACTTTAAGTAATTCAGCCGCCTAAACTAACCACCTAAAACTAACCATGACAGATTAGATGCTATGGTTAATTTAGGCACTAGAGTGAACACCACTGTAGGTAATTCAGCCACCTAAACTAACCATGATTGGGTATACCCAATATCTAAACTTCTCGAAAAAAAAACTTGATTCTGCACGGGGATCCACTTTTAAACCAAAGTAATGTGCTAAATACTATGCATGAATCCGGATAAAAGTCTCCGGACAAATGTCAATCAAGTTCAAGTAGGCACATAATTTGATTTTATCACCGTCCTCACCTTCACTCTCCAGAAGACTGAAAAAGTTACGAGTCTTTGGATGGTTACACTTCATCATTTCCTTCGATGAAATCTTGATGTTGTAATAAAAGCAATTCATATTTAAGTACTGTTGTTGAGACCATCAAAGTATTCCTCGTATATAGATGAAAACTTGGAAAGAAGGCCATCTTTTTTCATATATACCAACTTCGTTCAAGCACCAATGACTTCAATCATCCACCACCTTCTGCTTTTAAATCACTCATTTTTTAGAGTATTGGATTAACAAGTACTTTCAATAAGATTGCTTTGTCTTGATTTTGCTTTTCGGGTTGCAGATTGTAATCGATTCACTCATGTTCGTTCTCTTATGACATTTCTCTTATCCTAGTTCTGTCTCTTAATTTTTTTATCACACAATCCATGATAACATTTTAAGCTAAATATGTGTACTTGATTTAATTGATTTGTTTGTAATTCTCATTACAAGGATGATTCGTCCATCTTCAACTCATGATATTTATTTTATGCATGTGATGAAACTTTTCCACAATATTATTTGCATTTTACATGTTTTCATCATGAAAAAATTCCTTCGTACATACAAGATTCTAAAAGGAACGTAAGTGTTAATTATCCTAGACATTTCATCTCAAACTAAGTTTTCGTCAAGTTGAACAAAATGGAATCCCCCAAGACTGTTAAAAATGGCGCACCACATCACATGAATCATTGCTAATACTCGAAATTATTATATCCGAAATAGTTCCATCACAACGTCTTTTGAGGTCTATGGTTTTTCAAATGGATTTTAATTGTACCAAGGTAGGAATATGAAAAGAAGGGAAAAAACGCAACACATCTCCTGATTTGAATAAAACTCACTCAGCTTGTTTTCACGAAAGCTATTTACTCGTATATGTCTTTATGGTGAAAATAAGGTTCCTATGTAACCTTAAGAAGTGAAATGGGCTATTCACGCCCACCTTTGGCTAAAGTGTTAGTGCACTCCGTGTGGAAAACTACTCTCTGCCATCCTGGTCATTATAATAACCGTAACTGAGACCAATTACCCAGTTCAATGGAGTTAGTTAAGTCTATCAGAATACCGCATATCTTCAAACACACATCGTTTTGGTCATGCATACGGTCAGATAGGTCGAGGTTGGTCATGTCTTAAGCATATGAGTCTCGGTTCTCGTCAGAATGGACTTCAAACTTTGGGTGCCTTCAACAACAAGATCATACAAGTTGAAGGGTGTTGGAGGGTGATTCAGTACATTTTCACGCCATGTCTACCAGTAGATATCTCTGCGTAGCCACAAATATAGCCGCAGGAATAAAAGAATAGTCGGAGTAATTTTACCCGAAAGTTGATCTATTCATGTAACTTTCAGCCTTTATCGAAACCCAGAACTACCTCATGGAGTTGTTCCCAAATTTTGCTCGCAAATCACTGGAACTATAAAATCCTGGCTCATTCTTTGAATCTCTAAAGAGTGTGTTTCCAGTGAAAGTTTCGTAGTATGTGGCAAGTAGCCAGATATTTGATGAATACACACAACTTTTCTGATAATTCCTAATGGGCATGAGAAGTCATTCGGATGGGATTCCATTCCTGTAGATTCCTTGTGGCCCTTTGATGAATATATATCTCTCATAATGCATGGCAATCAAGACACGACGAGAGTATCTAGACATCGGGAAGCAATAAGAGAGGGTTACACATCATAATACTCAACATTCAATCAAACTCATAATCTTACTCCGGCCTTTTTTCGAAAACTGCACTACATGTAATATTACAACTTTGGGATTCTTCTTCACCAAAGCTGAAATGAAAGAGAAGCCGTCCACAATCGCCGGCTATTTTTTTGAGATATGATCCAGGAAGGCCGGAGATATGATTTCTTGATTTGATTGATTTCTGTAGATTTCTTTGTGGCCCCTCGTAATGCACAGCATGATGCACGATAATCAAGACACGCAGAGAGTATCTAGACATCGGGAAGCAATTTTAGAAGGTTACACATCACAATACTTAATATTCAATTGGGCTTATAAACTTACACCGGCCTTGTTTCGAAAACTGCAGTGCATGTTACATTGCGACTTTGGGATTCTTCTTCTCAAAAGCTGAAATGAAAGAGAAGACAGGTTATGGACATTTGATCCAGGAAGGCCGAAGATATGAAAAATGGTCGTCTATCCATTCGAAGATTGAGATTGAGCCCTTCCGAGGCCATCACCATTGGCCACAACACAATCAGCCTATCCGTCGCTTCTTAATGGTCAGAGCGGGAGGCCCTCTATCCACTTCCGACGAGCTGGCATCCAGGTGGCTGCCCACCTGGCCGACAAAGACGCAGTGGGCGTAAGGATTGGGTGCAGCACGCGCTGGTCTATCCACACTGTCCGAGTTTGCGCCTAGGTGGCGACGACGTGGCAGGCCTTGTGGCTGCAATCCGCGGAAATCCGAGCGACACAAGGCTCTCGAATGGCGCATCTGGTCGAGAACGTTCGAGGCCCGTTGCTGCAGCAGAAGTAGACGTTGCGGCACGCAGCTCGCCCCGTAGAAGCCCCTTCAGCACGAGTCGTCGACTGAGAGCGCTTTTCCAATTCGCCGCAATCTATCGATCTCTCGAGCTCAGAAACGAGTGCAGGAATCTGAGGCTATGGCGTCCATTGTAGCAGTTGCCGGACCTTCCGTGGTGGCTGGACTCGGCTCCAGCAGCCTCTCCGGCCAGAAGCTCAGAGTCTCCACCCGCTCCTTCTCGGTCCGCGCTGCCCCCAGGTTCGAGCTCGAGCCCCACTCTTTTCCTCGCAATCTGTCCGCATGATTTCCTTCGTGGTTTTGTGTGGAAAATGGGACTCCTTACTCGCTCTCGCTTCTTCCCTGTACGAGGATTAAGACTATCAGAAAATCACCAATAGCAACTGCGTGTATTCTGGGATTGTCGTTTTCCTGTGCGCATTGAGCGAATGCGTGTTACTTTGGGACGACTGAGTTGCTCGTGCTGTTAATGTGCACCTTCGCAGTCGGCTCTGTTGCCCATTTGGTGTCTGATTATCGAACCTCGCTTCCCGAAGATGAGGATCTCCTCTGTTAGTGGAATCGTAAATTCTTGTTCGAGCCACTCAGCGTAGATACCACCCAACGATCCCGGCACTATCCGATCCAGCGAGTTAGGTTTAACCACTTTGACGTTAAGAGCATTGAAGTGCGTGGTTTGTGAGACACACCTAATTTGAATGAATAGCTCTAGCACTGTTAGAAAATCAGAGTGGCTCAAACGAATTCCTTACAAGTTTTGGTTTCTCTTACGACAGCGTTGGAGTCGCCTCAGCCAAGTACGATGCTGGCAACAGCAAGTACTTCGACCTTGAAGATCTGGGCAACACCACCGGAGCCTGGGACCTGTACGGTTCAGACCAGCTCTCTCCCTACAATGGCATGCAGGTCTGTTCCCACTCATGAGAGCGCTTTTCCAATTCGCCGCAATCTATCGATCTTAAAGTGCATCTTTTGCTTGTAGTTTCGGCTACTGTGAAGGAACATGAGCTGCGTGAGCAGCATGATTTTTTATTTCCAAATCAGACACAGTTGTATAGCTTTGTGATTGCTTCAAGTCTTACTGTGTACTTCATTGAATGCAGAGCAAGTTTTTCGAGACCTTCGCCTACCCCCTGACCAAGAGAGGTATATTATTGAAGCTCGGTCTCCTCGGAGGAGCTTTGGCTCTGGGATTCGCCAGCTCATCTGCCACCGGTGACATCCTTGCCATCAAGAAGGGACCCCAGGGGCCACCCCAAATGGGCCCACGAAACAGGATCTAAGTAGATAATTCAAATGTGCATAGAACGTTTTCCGGTGTACTGTAATTGTTATCTTGTAACATGATTCGACGAAGTAACAACTAAATATCGCAGCTTTGACCATGTGGAGATGCTCTGGCACATGCAGAGCCTCAGCTTTGTATGTAAAGGAACTGTAAAGAAATGTAATGTCCCACCTTACCAACGATACTATGTAAACCGTCTGGAATGCCTCAAATGCATGTAACTACCCTAGACCGCATCTTGGAATGTTATCGTTTTCCACTGCTGAGATCTAAGTCCATTCGGAATTGGAATAGATTGCAGAGGCTTACGGACCGGAACTGTTCACAATGACGTCTTGCATTATGAATGTCTCGCGCATCTCCTTCAACGTTCGGTATTGTAAGCTGCGAAATTGTTCCAACAAGCATTGTTGTCCAAACAGAGGCTTGAGTAAGGGGAAAAAGGTATGATGAAACGGAAAAGAAGATTAAATAACTTGACAATACACATGTGAAAAAAACTAATGCGTAGATGGATAAGACGAAGATAAGTAGACTACAATCAATATGCAGCGAAAAAAAATGAAACATTTGCTGCAACCTGGGCAGACGCCTGAGAAAAAGATGAAATCGAAATAATCTTTTAAGCAAACAACTACGAAGGAAAATAGAACGTAAACTACACACTGAGATAAATGTCATAATCATTCAAGTCACAAACAATAGTACACGAAAATTCGACAACCGTAATTACTCTTCATCTCCTAGTCGAGCCTTGTCCTTTTTTGCCTTTGCCGGTAAGGTCAATATTAAGGTTGTATTTCTCGTTCTCGAGATCCATATCCAGAGGCGAGCCCATTCTGCCAGAATTCTTCCTTTCAGCCTCGGCCCATCTGAGCATGAAATCAGAGGGATCTGGCGAGGGCGAGGAAGGACGGCAATCAGACATGCAGGTGAGAAAGTTGAAAATAATTCATGTTAATCTGAAGGAAAATATTCGAGTTGCGGGAGTAAGTAAGGCCATCGTTGACATGAAGGTACACGAACATTTGGATCTGTCTGGAGAAAGGGTGAACCTGGAGGTGAAGCCTGAAGAAGATCCGTCACAAAGCGGGAGAGGAGCTCGTGGACATCGGGACGAAGCCCATAGTCTTCCAAAGCTCTACGCAAGGGATTTCGACGGGCTTCTTCGCGCTCCGGAGTAAAGTCATAGGCGATACCGGACATTTTGTGGTGCTCGTGGAATATGCAACCTCGTCTCTTGTTAGATTGCTGCACGAGACGGCACTAACGTAGATCTGCACGCATTAATTTTCACGATGAAGTAGAGACAGATAAACGCGACAATGGAAGAGACAAGAGCGCTAGGACGCAATTCCGTTTCTACGGAATTCTGGAACTGATCTCTCTGCCTCCTTTTACACCCACGACGGGTTGTTGGCTAAGTATTCTTCTTCCTCTCAGCTTAAGGTTGCAATTCTACCAGAATCTCGGCGAGGTTGCCGGTTCAAAGAGCACTCGTCATCGAAATCAGCCAGTCTATTCTCAGGCATGATCGTGCTAATTCCTTCAGCACACGGTTAACCTAAAGCAAATTGAAGCACTATCTGCACCGAAAGAAACCACTCTGAAGAAGTTTCATCTCATTCCCACTCATTCTCCTAACCGCTCAGCGCTTTACTGGAATTGTTTTCCCTCAGATGGTTTCGGATCCTCGATTTGGCTTCCTCTGCAAGCAACTGGAGTACCGGCCGAGACCTTCATATCTCATGAGCTCTGTGCGCGCCGAGACAGCAAACGCACACTCCTCCCTCCCTATGGCCACCGTCAGCCTTGGTGGTCACGTCGACACAAACAAACCTGTGAATGATTGCACCTCTTCCCAAAGATGACCATGAATTGTGATTGATCCTGCGTTGCCATCTTCGTTTCCATTCCATTCCCTGCACATTCGTCTTGCGCTTTCGCTCTGTATAATTTCGGTATCGGGTGGGCTTGTAGAGAAGCTTAATGATAGGAGTTCTCGATGCTCATCCAGATTGCAAAATAGCAGAAATTGTCTGATTTCAACCAATGGGCAACGCAGGATATCTCGACATAAATACGTTCTGGCGATGAATGATAAATAAATACGTCATTGCCGAAACGCGTACAGACCCTCAATACATTGTAAAGCGCTGAATACTTGAAATCATCCTTTTCGATTTTGAGATGAGGCTTGAGAGATAGAAGTTGATCATTTGCAATCAGCCTGATGACAGTTCTGAAAATCTACTCGCTCCAATTCAGATGCCCGAACCAGTCTCGGAATCCTTAAGAAACTCAGTACAGTATTTTGGAAACTAGCTGATTTGATTCGCTTATTTTTCATATTACCTTCTTGTAGTCTTTTACTTTTTAGTTGTATCAATTTTCCAACGCAGATCTTTATGGACATATTTTACGTACTTTTTTTTTCCAATTTGAATGGTTTTCTATCGAACCAAACACATATTCCTTTCATTAAAAAAATTAGTTAAAGACATTAATAAAAATTTATTCATTGAGTGTAAAACTTCATAAACTCTCATTTCCTGTAGATTTATGACTTCAAACTCAAAATAAATAAAATTATACTATCTGATTATATACTTTTTATGGAGATGGGATTCAAAATGATAAATATATATATGCAGTGTACATTTATGAAAAAATTACTGTTAGCATTTTCTTTTTCTAACAAAAATTCAACTGAAGTTATATATTTTCATTTGTAAATGTAAAGTGTAAAACTCAATTACATCATCTTCTTCAGAGTTTTTTTTGTGGCAAGAAAGATGTAGTTGTTAAATACCAGGTGATTTTCAGCGATCATGAAAACTTGATCTCAAAATCAGCTTCACATGAGAATGATGGATATATAGAAATGATCGAAAAGAAAATCTTTTGATTATGAGGACTATCTTTATATGATATTCTGTACATAAATGGCTCTGATCTCATGTTGTTATTAAGTATCATCAAAAATATTGTTGTGATGTGATAATTATGGAATATTTTTACACCTCTAAACTCAAAAATTTAATTTGGGATTTGGGATTTTGTATACCTTATATATTTAAATCTATGATTGAAAATTTAAGTATTTTTAAAAAATGGTGTTAGATGAGTAATTTATTAGGATGTCATATCATCTGTACTTGTTACATTCTAATGATTACGAGCTAATCCCAGTATTATGTTTTGTTTGTCAACACATAACTACAACATTAAGAGTTTGCTGGAAGTTAATATGATCTTAGAAGTATGTTATTTGAAAACTTCACTTGTGTACAAGATTGAAATAAAATTTATATCTTCTACTTAAATGATTGTATTTAGCACTTGAATTGTACATCAAATGATTCTAACAAAATATTCAAATCTTCTCAAAAAACCATAAAATATGCATAATTTAGTATGAAAAAAAAATTTTCAAAAAAAATATTTTACCTAGGAAAACTAAGTTCATATTAAATTCAAATTTTACAAATAAATCAGAAAAATTACTAAGTGAATTTGAAATTTCATCTCCAAGAGTAAAATCAAACTCATAGCAGAATATATGAACTGTTGCCGAATTTTATAGTTATTGATATTGCCAAACAAGCCAGAAATGCTGTAAGTTAACCTCATAAGTATAATAAACCTATGAATGCACATGCAATTAACCGAAATATATGTCTAGGTTCCAGCTTGATCTTCACACACTTGAAATTAGTACACAATAGTGTTAAACATGAACATAATACAAATATCAAGAATATGAATGAGTTAAACTGAAGAGCATGACCCAAGGTTGTTCCTAGCTGACATATAATGGGAAAAAACTTGATTTCCAAAAATACCTTTCTCCATCTGGCTAACTAGATGTATAGTACCTGGAAGATGACTTCTCGTGTAGTCAATGTAGCGATTATTTATTTTACAACTGTTCACTAAATCGCTATCTAGGAATCAAGAATCTGGTTCAGATACGAGGAATGTTGGAAAATTGTAACTTCACAGCAAAGAAAAAGAAAAGAAAGTGATGGCGTGTCAACGGAGGTGGCAAAGGTATCTATGGTCAAAATAAGATATAGTGTATTAGATTCTAGTTCTCCGCTTGACATGAACAAGTACCATGATTTTAGATGAATCGATAGTTTGGGCACCACGATTCTGTGTTGGACAAATTTTAACTTGGAAACCTTCCGGGATGAGTAATTGCTGACATTTCAGGTCACAGAAAACTGAAGATTTTGCACTCTGGAGCCGCTCAGCCTGCTAGAGACATACAGCCTGATAGTCGTTTTAAGCCTCAGAGTGGAGAGAAATTTGGGGGTGCATCGTTCTAAAAACAAACCATGTCCACCGGTCCCATGCGTACTGAATATTCATTCGTGAATTGTTAAAAGACTACTCTCTGCCGAGTGCAGCTGTTGGCAAAGACCCCGCTGATCTTTCAATCTTCCTCAGAGAGAATTTTTTTGCAACGGGATTGTGGATGATTTCAAGACTCAGCTGAAGAAGTTAGTTGACTCAGACGAGAAGTGAAGTCGCAGACCAGCAATGGACTGCGATGGATCTTGAGCGCAAATTCGTGACCAGGGTAGGCTGATACTAATTCTTTGATACATTAACAGACAAGGTATGTGACACTAGGATTCTTGGGAATTGTTCCCGTCACCCCACCACTCCTGGCTTCAGTGCTGGTGATAGCAAGGCCAGCGTCCTGGACTTCGGAATCCATGGCTGCGAACACTGCCGCATCATGCTTGTGCTCCCAGAATATGATGTCTCCACTGGTCAGCTGACAGTCAACCATGTCACATTGGCTTGCGGGAATCGCGTCTGCTAGGCCTCTTTCCGTATCCATATTTTTTATGCTTGAATGCGAGTTACTAATTATAAATTGTTGTGATGAAGTTAGTATCGTACAGTTAATAACTGCCAGCATGGAAACTGTAAAATTCCCTCCTCTGTAAATCACTCACAATAACAGCAGTTGTCCCTCCATGCTCGAGCTTCTTATTCTGGATTTGACAGTTCCACCTAGAATGATCTGAGATTACGGGGACGTGACAGACTTTCTTGAGACAAAACTTCGCATATCAATTACGAATATATTTTTAGCTCTGTAAAATGGCGCCTCAACTACATTTGCAGTCATTCTGGCGAGTCCATTGACAGACAGATACCGCAAGCGTACACGTGTTGGGTTCAAGCCGGTTTAACATATTTCTCAGACTGACAGTCGTGCCTATCATTAACATGTTAACAGCTGCACAAGGCTTTTGAAACATCCAACTCTCACCTGTGAATAACATCTGTATTTAGGAAATATACATCTGTACGTCCAAACCTGATATTCCTGTGCAAGGGTGATGATGTGAATACTCACAAGATGGCGCGGAAGCAGCTCCGTAGTTATGTACTTTCAATTGTGAGATATAAGTTTTATCTGACAATTATGAGTTATAAGAGATATAAGATATACAACATATTATACATAAGTTGTATCATATAAAACAGTGGTTAGTGTGTATGACACATCGCCGTTCATGCGGGCACTGATATGACGCATTAGAGCACATGGTGGAAACGTTCAAAACGTAAGAAATCGCAAGAGCTCTTATATCTTGAAGATTTGTATTCCGTACTAAAGACGGTTTGGCCAGGAGGTGTCCATACAACCTTACTAGGCGTTTGGAGCTTAATGTACAGTTATCCATGAGTGATGTAGATCTAGTAATGTATGCTTCAGATGATTATTTAAAACAGATTCATCGTTCCACATTATCAATTTATTGTTCCAGAATTGATTGGTATTTAGACTACACATGATAAAATTTTAGGCGAGGACTGTATATGCTCAAGAACGAGGAAGTAGTGTAGTGATATAAATCATTTAAGCAGAAATTTTACAGCATAAGAGTTATAAGTTAACTCAATTAGAATCCCAAACTAGATGAAGTTGATATCACAATCTTCGATTTTCTGTATAGTGCTTCAATCACCATATATGCAGTGTTATTGATATCTCACTTGATAACATTATCCATAAGATAAAAAATATATTTAGTTTATAATCTCTGGAGGATGTTTGTAAGTCATTTGACTGTAATATTTAGGCCAAATGTGATGTTAATGGGACCTAATCCCATACAACCCCTATATTTTCATATAAGACTCGTTGGAATCTTCTTACTGTTTATTTCTCAAAAAACCTTTACTTTTCTTTGAAACAAACTTTTTGACAGAGTTCCAACCTGCAATACATTGATAGCATTAAAAGATGATGATTGATTGATCGTGTGGGAGGAGGGCCTGTACCTCTCGATAATACAATCTTCTCACAATAGAGACTATTAATCTTCATAAAGTGGATGACGTCTTCAAGCTTAGTTCAGGAGTTAAGTGAAACGAGGATTCTTTTCCCCCATGTTCAATCAATCTACCGACGATATTCTCATGCATCAATCGAGATATGTGTCACAAGTGATATATAGTTCTCACATGTCCTCCATATCATTGCTTGCACTCTAGGTAACTCAGATCAAAGGCAGACACATTTCAACGATTCATTGGACAAAAGAAAAGTTTCAAGTTCTGCTCCGACATGCAAAGCACCAATGCCAGCCGGTACTTGCGTACGGTCGTTTCTTTCGGCCGTTCACACAAACTTGCTTCATAGTTCCGGTCAAATGCCTAAGACGTATGTTCCATGCTGAAGTAGTTGCAATCATGGCAAGACATACAAAACAAAACCATAGAAGACATGCCCAAAAATGGAAGGTTTGACTATTCATCTTGCAAGACCCCTACTCCGAATAAAATCCTCCATTTATCTTATTGTTTTCCTGATCTCTATCTAGGCTTGGAATGATAAAACCGGTACTGTTTCACAAGAAACAAGGGAAAATTGTCAACAACTTTCACATATAAAAGGCTTCAAATTCAGAAGATGTGTGAATCGTAGAACCATTTGAAATTGCATGCTGGAGAATAGATGGGAATATACAACTCTCAAAGGACATTCAGAGTTAAAAAAATTCTGTAATTTTTTGAACCATCACTTTGGCTAT